CGGGATCCCATATGGTCGCCGGTTCTAATCCCGGCAGCCCCGCTTCCCTTCCAGCTCCCTGCCTGTGGCCCGGGAAAGCAGTCGAGGACGGCCCAAAGCTTTGGGAACCTGCACCCGCGTGGGAGACCCAGAAGAGGATCCTGGCTTTGGATCGGCGTAGTATCGGCCGTTGCGCTCACTTGGGGAGTGAATCATCGGACGGAAGATCTTCCTCTCTGTCTCTCCTCTCTGTATATCAACCTTTCCAATAAAAAAATAATAAAAATAAATCTTTTTAAAAATTTGACTTTTATTTCCGTTTATTGTCCAGTAAGAGCTGAGAGGTGTCTTGGGTTTCTGAGGCTCTTGTTTTTTTTACCTCAGAGCAGTCGCCTTCGAGGGCGTTAGAAAGTAGCGAACAGTGTCTGACTGAAAAGTTGCCCGGATGTTCAGTGTGGCGTTGGCGTCTTCCCATCATGCAACGCACCGCCTATATATTTCGGCTTCTGGCGGGAGGCTCTCAGTGCGCCGAGGGGATTCCCTGGCCGCCGGTTCTCCTGGTGGTCGCCTAGCGCCTTCGCGCTCCTCCCTCTCTTGCTCCTCCTCAGGGCTGGGCTTGTGGCCGATTTTCCCCTTGGTTGGTAAGCGCATTCCGCTGTTGGACCGGGGATGCCGGCTGCCAGCGGCGGTTCTCCCGCGCGGCTGTGGCCACGGGTACCCTCCTGTCAGGGTGCCGACCTGAGGGACTCGAGCGTCGGCGCGGCTTCTCGGAGTGGACCGGGACGCGCGTGAGAGGTCCAGCTTCGTGGCACAGCCGCGGGTGGGCCGACCCTGCGACCCTGCGTGCGCGTGGACGGTGGGGGAGTTTGGGTGGGGGCAGGTGTTTGGGTGGGGGCAGGAGGGCGAGGAGCCGCCCCCCCGTGACGACGCGGCGCTCCGTGGACACAGGACCCCACGAGGCCCGTGACTCTCGGGGCTTTTTTTTTTTTTTTTGGCTTTTTTTTTGTTTGTTTTTTGTTTTTTTGGCTTTTCTTGACTTTCTTGGCTTTTCTTTCTGGAGGAGGCTCCCTTCGGACTTTTGTCAGTTCGGTGGCTGTGGGGGATGGAGCCCCGCCCACCCCGAGTCTCCGGAGGCGAGTTGGAAGTTTGAAGCACCCGGGCTTCTCGGGTCGCTCGCTCGCTCGCTCGCTCGCTCCCTTGCGCTCCCTTGCTCGCTCGCAATGCGCTCCTTCCGCGCCGCCTGCTTTCTTCTGGCCCAAGTGGTTTCCTTTTCTATCCCAGAAATCGTGTTTCGTTCCCTTACTGTCTGCAGGCTGAGAGCCCGCAGGAGAATCGTGAGGTTAAATGCACTGAGTTTGTGTTTGTTCCACCCCGCCCCCCACACCCCGCAAGAGTGAGTTCTTGCGGGTTTGTTCTATGAGGTAAAAACACATTTCGCTTTCTTTTCGCTCGCTCTGGAGATAGAGGGTGTTCCCACCTCAAGTTTGAGTGTTTTTCCTCAAGCGAGATCTGAGACGAAAGTGTCTAGTGAGCGCGATTCTGGGAGTATGGGGGAACTTCATCGAAGGAATTCTCTGGAAAGATGCAGCGTTTCGTTTCGTTTCTCTTTGTTTTATAAGTCGGCGAACTTAAACTTACGGCTTCGTGGTTTCCCAGTTTGGACTCTAGCGTTAGAAACGTCTTTGAGTTGCAATGCCCTCAGACCTGCAAGTAGAATTTTAAACTACAAAAACAAACAACAAAAAACTGGCATTAGGGAGCTGTTCTGATTTGGAGGTTACTGTGCAAGCTCAAGCTGTCTTCTAAGGCAGCAAGTAAAACTAGAAAGGCAGGGGTTTGCTTGGAAAATGAAGTCAAGTCTGCGCTGGTGTTTTCCAAGGGCCGCCTGGTCCCCCATCCGACCAGCTTGCGATTGTGGGTTGTGTAGATTCCCGTCCCTTGTCTCTTCTGAGCTGAGCCTTTGGAGTTCTGACAGACTGTTTTGAGGGTGAATTAACAACCTCAAGGAAAGGGTTTAAATAATAGTAAAGCCAATTCTTGACCCTCCTGTGCTGCTTAATTCACCGTTACCATGCCCACAGTTTTATGGGAATGGGGTGGCTGTAGAAATAACCGGGGCGGGGGAGGACGAAGGGGTACCTGAAAAGTCTAAGAACTATGATGCTTATTTTTATTTCATTTCGCTAGTTATATTTAAGAATTCATATTTTTCAACTTAATATTAAAATGTTTCCAAACCTATTGAGAAGCTGCACAATATCCACTGACAACGTCCACTTGTCAGAGAATCACAAGTACCGGTTGTTCCTACTCATTATTAAGTTAGGTTTCCCAATCCAGTCTTTCTCAGCACAGTAGTGTATCACTCAGCCTTTTCTCTTTTAGTATTAGAGAAAAGAGCATGGGGAAAGAGGCACATAATTCAGGGTCTGGTGCGATGGCTCCTTGCCTAAAGTCCTCGCCTTGGCGCCTAAAGTCCTCGCCTTGCATGCACCAGGATCCCATTTGGGCAGCGATTCTAAGCCTGGTGGCCCCGCTTCCCATCCAGCTCCCTGCTTGTGTCCTGGGAAAGCAGTCAAGCACTGGGAACCTGTACCCGCGTGGGAGAACCTGAAGAGGCTCCGGATGCCTGACTTCTGATTTGCTCAGCTCTGGCGTTTGTGGCCATTTGGGGAGTGAACCAGCTTAGATCTTCCATCCTCTGGTTCACTCCCCAACTGCCAGAACTGAGCTGAAAGGAACTGGCACCCAAATGAGATCCCAGCAGTTATAAGGTGGAGGATTTAGCTGCTGAGCCTGCCCAAAAAGGAACTTTTAAAAGATTAGAAATATACCACCTATGCACACTTATTAAATATAGTAGATCTTAAATATATGACCCTGTGTCTTCTAGCTTTAGCACAACTTTAAAAAGTAGGAAAGATTTATTCAGCAAAAGGCCATTTGGATGTTTATATCATACTTGAGTCATAAAAAATTATTAGCTTAGAAATTAGCCTACTATAGATGTATTGAATTTCAGGTCCAACCAGTGATTGCCTTGAGCAGGCCAGACTAAATGATTTGTGTTTTGCTTGCTGGATGTTTGACTAATGTTTCAGGAAGATGTGGTTTACTCAGGAACGTGACTCCAAAATGTATGCCTCAGCTTTTTTGATTCATTTTCTGTGTAGTGGTTTTCTTTTGAAGAACATTCTTAGTAAGTCTTGGTATACCAGGAAAAGTAGTCATCGTTATGGAACGTATGGGTACACTGGGCCATATTTACTTCTTACATTTTTAATTCGCTTTGCAAATATTTTATGTAAGAATAAAGGACTCTTAGAAACTTTATTACCAAATAAGAATTTATTCATTGCGTACTTTTTTTAAACAAAAAAATAGAGGCTAATAAAATCAAATTGTCTTTTACTAAGACAGATATTAAAACTTTTTTTTAAAGTTTTATGTGTTTATTTTATTGGAAAGACAGATATACAGAGAGGAAAGACAGAGAGGAAGATCTTCCGTCTGATGGTTCACTCCAGCAACAGCTGGAGCTGAGCAAATACAAAGCCAGGAGACTCCTTCGGGTCTCCCACGTGGGTGCAGGGTCCCAAGGCTTTGGGCCATCCTTGACTGCATTCCCAGGCCATAGGCAGGGAGCTGGATGGGAAGTGGAGCTGCTGGGATTAGAACTGGCATTCATATGGGATCCTGGCGCACGCAAGGCAAGAACCTTAACCTCTATGCTATCGCACAGGGCCCAAAACTTTTTCAAAAATGTAAATCAGCACAACTCTTGTTGCTAGGTTTTTTGTTTTAGGAAAATTATTATTTTCATTGAAAGTGTTTATATTGATTTGTAATTAATTTCCATTGTTGAGTAAATTAATATTGAAATGTTTTCTCAGTTTCCGTTAATTCTGTGCTGGATTTCAATAGATGTAATCCACATAAATGTTTTTTAAGAGGAAAGGCGTTCGGAGTCAAGATGATGAAAATTTACCTGATGCAATTTGTTTGTGACAGACAGTATTTGGTTAAAAGATTTCATTTATTTAACTTGAAAGAATTACAGAGAGAGGGAGGGAAGGATAGAGATTCTCCATCTGCAGATTCACTCCCCCAAAAGCCACAGTGGCAAGAACTGAGCTGATCCAAAGCCAGGAGCTTCTTCCTGGTCTCCCATGTGGGTGCAGGGTCCCAAGGCTTTAGTCCATCCTCCACAGCTCTCCCGGCTGTAAGCAGGGAGCTGGACCAGGAAGTGGAGCAGCTGGGACACAAACCAGCATCCGTAAGGGATGCCAGTAATGCAGGCAGAGGTTTAGCATGCTATGCCATCATGACAGCTCCTTGTTTGTTGTGGTTTTTGTTTGTTTGTTTTGTTTTAATGACTGAACAAGCTTGTTAGAAAAGTGCATTTTTGGTGTTCAATGTATATTATGTGTGTGAAAATTCAAAATACAAATTCTTATTTTAATTACAGCAATTCAAATATTTTGATGGCTTGTTTTAAAGCTCAAAGAATCGTAAACACATTTATGTTCCCCTAAGACTTAACATATTATATTAAATGCAGAAGGTACTGAGTAGTTTTATTTTAATGAATTAATCTGCAAAGAAATTTATGCAGTTAATCTTCAATACCTTTCATGTAGTTGATAAGGAGCCAAAATATATGTGTAAACTAAAACATTCTTACACTTTTTTTCCTTACAATAATACTTTATTATTCCTGAAATGTTAATAATATCATTTAACATTTCAAGATTCAGATTTACTAAAACATATTTTGCAGGATAATTACTCATTTTTACAGAGAAGTCTTTTAAATTTTATTTCTAGTTTAATAATTCATCAGATTTTTTTCCAAGCAGGAAATGCTTGTACTATTCTTTCTATTTACTAAATTTGTTTTTACTCAGAAATGAACCAATTTCAAGATGTGCATTATATGTCAAACTTACAAAATAAGGTTTGGTAAGGCAGAATATTAAACTGCTCGTCTTAAATCCATTCTAATAATATCTTTGATTTACAGGTTGAAAAACTACGCTGCCCTGTCTGCAGCCACAGAGTAAGTTTACTGAAAATTAAAATTAGACCCAAATGTTTCTGAGTCACATTTCATGTTTCAGTATTTGGTGTAACTTAACATGACTATTACAATTGAATGATGTCATGGGTTGCTACTTAGGTGACTGCAGTCTCATGGATGACGACAGCCCCTTTGAACTAGAACGTAAGTAGTGTTCTTGCACCTGAAATCAGTGTGCCTTGCTTCTGTCCTGGTAAGAGACAGAGGTGGGCGCACTTTCTTACAGTATATTTAGATTTTATCTACTTACAGTAAGAAATGAACCATATGCCAAAAAAAAAAAAGTCAGTAAAGTAGAATTGAAATGTTTCTTCCTCATCCTCAGAGATAAATACTATTTTTTTAAGATTTATTTATTTTTATTTGAAAGAGTTACAGAGGGGAGAGAGAGAAAGATCTTCCATCCACTGATTTACTCCCCAAGAGGCTACAGCGGCCAGAACTGGGCTGAGCTGATCCAAAGTTGGGAACAGGAAACTTTTCTGGGTCTCCCATGCAGGTACTGGGGCCCAAGATTGTAGCCATCCTCTGTTGCTTTTCCATGCCATAAGCAGGGAGCTGGATTGAAGGTGGAGCAGCTAGGGTGTGAACTGGCACCCATATGGGATGCTGGCACTTGTAGGCAGAGAATTATCCAGTTCAGCCATCGTACTGGCCACTCAAAAATATCTTAATATAGACAGTTGTAACCCTCATTTAAAAAGAATGAGATAAAGGCTAGCACTTTCAGGATAAGCTGTTGCTTGCAGTGCCAGCTTTGGGTGCCAACTTGAGTCCACTACCAATTCAAATCCCTGCAAATGCACCTGGGAAAGTGGCAGAGAATGGCCCAAATGCATGGGTCCTTACAACCACATGGGAGACCTTGGAAGAAGTTCCTGGCTCCTAGTTTTAGATAGGCCCAGCCCTTGCTGTTATGGCTATTTGAGAAGTGAACCAGTGGACACAGGACCTGCCTCTCAATTGATAATTCTGTGTTTCAAGAAATAACTAATTTTTTAAGAGAGGAGAAAGACCTATGGGTGTCTACATGATATCAACATGGATATAAGCTTGTTTTAGTTATTAGTATACGTGAGTCTCTTATTTGTTTAAATTTGGCATTGTTGAACTTTGCCAAATTTCTAAGTCTCTGTGTAGGATTGCAACTCTCGGTTGGATTTGGAATGCCAGTGTCACTGCGCCACAATGCCCACCCCTGGCCAGTTAAACTTACTTAGTTTTTTACTTTTGCTACCATGCGGTGACTATGAATATCAGTTTGATAATTGTCTTTAAGATTATTAAAATATATTAAAAATATCATGTTGTGAAAAAGTTTTTTTTTAAATACTTTTATTTCAAAGGCGGATTTATAGAGATAGAAGGAGAGACAGAGAAAAAGATCTTTGATCTGCTAGTTTACTGCCCAAATGGCTGCAACAGAAAACCAGAAGCCTGGAGCTGCTTCCAGGTCTCTTACATGGATGCAGGGTCCCAAAACTTGTACCATTTTCCATTACTTTCCCTGGAACATTAACATGGAGCTGGATTAGAAATGGAGCAGCCAGAACACAAATTGGCACCTGTATGGGATGCCAGCGAAACTTAACCTACTAAATCACAATGCCAGTGCCTGTATTTTTCTTTTTATAAAAGCATCTATTATTTTAATGGAAAGGCAGATTTTTTTTTTTTTTTGGAAAGGCCATTTTTACTGAGAAAAGTCTTTCTGTCCACTGGTTCACTCCACTAAATGGCTGCAACAGCCAGAACTGGGCTGAGCTGATCCTGAGTTTGGAGCCAGGAGCTTTTCCCAGGTCTCCCAAATAGGTGCAGGTGCCCAAGGATTTTATCTTTGCAGGCCATACGAAGAGAGCTGGATTGGAGATGGAGCAGCCGCCCGATGCCCATATGGGATGCTGGCGCCACAGGGTGGAGGATTAGCTTGCTGCACCACTACATCAGCCCCAGTAATTTTCTTTTTTAAAGTTTGCTTTTCTGCTTTTTAAAAATTAGATAATATAAAAATGGCAGAACTCTTCATGGAATGTGAAGAAGAAGATTTAGAACCATGGCAAATTATAGACTCTTCGAGTGAGGATGACTTGATCTTTGTTGGAGAGATACCTGCTTCAAAACCAGCCTCTTCAAGTAAGCATTTATTTTTCAGTGAAGTTTCATGACATAGTTGTTGGTTGTTCCTAAGAGGAAAACCTATGGGCTGCCAAATGTGCTTGATGTACTTGTTCTTCTGCTAGGAGTGAAGTTGGGTTAGTGGACAAAGGTCAGTAAAAATTTGTGGAATTCAAGGTAGGGATATGGTTGGTGAGCAGAGGATGAAGCTCGCCTTGTACCTAGGCAAGTGTTACTGCAGCCAAAAACATTCTGGGCCTGGTTAATGCCAACTCTGTGTTAACTATACCAGTGTATCAGTATAGTTGCCTATTCTATTTTTTTCTATTTTTTAAAAATATCTGGGGGAAAAGGTGAGAGTTCACTGTGCCACCATCAGTGCATGGCAGCTGGGGCCATTCCACTGCCATTGCTGCTGTCACAGCATTTGGGAGGAGGGCATGCATTGCTAGGAGCTGGGAAACTGGGGATGGGTTGGAATGGGGACCAGTGAGGGCTTGTTTGACATATATAAAATGCTTTCTGGGGGTTTTCATGGAGCATACCACCAACACCTAGGGAGTTGAGACAGGGTGGACTAGAAGGGGTAATTTGAGGGCCTCCCTGTGTCAAACCAAAGCACCTGCATGCACACATGAGCCGGAGCTGGGGGTGGATCAGGCTAGGCTAGGTCATAGTACCCACTGGTGCTTGTGAGAGCCAGTTTGAGGGCAGGTCTGGTAGTTCTTAGGTGTTGCCCCAACCAGGCTACGGCACCAACCAGCAAGTTTTGGGACTGGGGTAATCTAATGCCAAGCTGGGCTGCAGCACCCACCAGCACATGGAAGAAATGGGGCTGTGGGAGCAGGCCTGATATGGGATTTTTAAGGACATACTTGCTGGACCTTAGTACCCGCTGGAACATATGAGAATCAGGGATGGGAACAGGCTGAACTGGGCTAGACTACAGCATCCACTGACAAATGAAGGAGCTGGCATTTGGGACAGACCAGGCCAGGTTAGGCCGTAGCACCCAATGACACACATGGGGGTCTAGGTTTCAAGTGGGCTGGACTGAACTAGGCTGCAGTACCCACCAGCAGACATGAGGGGATGGACCTAAAGGGGGCCTCAAGGGCCTCCTTGGCTAGGCCACAGTACCTGCTACTACAAATAAGAGCAAGTTCTAGGGCAGGATGGAGCAGGCTGCACACCTGCTGGTGTGCACAAGAGCTGAGGGTAGGGGCAGATTGGATTCAGGCCACAACATCTGCCAGTATACATGAGATCCGAGTCTGGGGACAGGTTTGGCCAGGCTAGGCTGCAGCACCCATTGGCAAACATCGGAGCCAAGTCAGGGCAGGCTTAGAAGAAATCTTAGAGGTCTATGCTAGGCACCAGCACCTGCTGGTGGGCATGAGAGCCAGGTCTGGGGGGCACGTTGGGCCAGCCACAGCACCTACCAGTTCACGCTGGAACTGGGGCTGGGATCTGGCTGGTCCAGGCTTGACTGAAGCACATGCGGGCACATGCAGGGACCGGATCTGGGTACAGGCCAAGTTGGAGTTCTGGGGGAATTACTCTGACCAGGGCTCAGCACCCACTGGTGCACATGAGGCCGAATTAAGGGGTGAGCTCTGTTGGGTTTGGCTGCAGCACCCACTGTTACATGCAAGAACTGGATCTGGAAACCAGCTTAGCAGGGTACTCTTAGGAGTCAGCCCAATGAGTCCTCTCCTCTGGATCCCCAACCTCAGGGAACATATTGTGGGACTGGGCTGCCTCCGTTACTGACTGTGTAAAGAGAAACAACATATAGGGATGCACACAAAAGACAGGACAGCCAGCCTCTCTGATTCAACAGAGGATCTTGAATGCTTCACTGAAAACATGGAGTGAAGAGCAGCTTAAATAACGCTACAGGCTAAATTCTCCACCAAACATCTAAATGCTGTGGACATACTGAAACATAGAGAAATGGTATCTCACACCTGGTGCAGTGAAGCTAACACCCTCTCAGAACAATCGAGACTAATAAAGTGACACCCTCAAGATATTTTTCTCCCCATCAGGATCCCTGGAACAAAACCAGGGGACCATCTCTGTCCCTTGGCACTGATGTGATCTGGCAGGAAGGAGCAGCATAATATCTCCCCCACCGTGCCCTGCAGTCAGGAGGGAAGACAGGGTCTTTTTCCTCACCCACTTTCTCCCTCATCCCCAGCCCACCAAAGATCTGCAAGGGTTTGCAATCCCCCACCTATGCAGCAAACATTTTAAAATAAATATTTTAAGGGAGGTGAAAAATTAAGATATATGATTAAGAAAAGCAAAATAGTTTAACTTAAGGAAAAGATTGTATTATGGACCTTCTGAGATTAGAAATGTTTAGTGGCATCTCACTTGATAACTGCAACATGCATAGGCAAATCCGGCTCCGAGCCTAGCTGCTGACAGTCTCCACACACATTGTGGGAAGGAGAGAAAGCACATTGCCCAGGGAAGGGAGTCTGGGGACAGACAGATCAGACTAGGAGCTACTGAGAGCTTGGGCTTGTTTCACATGTACAGAATACTTTTAGAGGTTTTCATAGACCAGGCCACTGTACTCATGGATAATTAGAGGAGTTGAGATGGGGTGGATCAGAAAGGGAAATCCCAAGGGCATATGTGGATTGGGCCATAACACCTGCTGGCACACGTAAGAGCCAGTAAGGACTAGGGTGGGTCAGATTGTAGCACCTTCTGGCACCTGCAAGAGCCAGATCTTGGGGCAGGCCAGGCAGGGCTAGGCTACTGCACCCACCAACAAAACCTGGAAGTGGGGTCAGGCCAGGCCTGGCTGAGGCAGCAGTACCTGCTGACACAAGAGCCAGGGCTGGAGGTGGGCCAACCTGAGCCAGTCACAACACCCACTAGTACACACAAATATCAGTCTGGAAGCTAGCCAGGCTGGACCACAGCACCCACTAGCAAAAACCAGGACTGTGGACAGGCCAATGGCAGCACATGCAAGAACTGGGCCCAGGAGTGGGCATGATAAGGGTTGTTAGATGGGGTCTCTAAGACGAGGAAGCAGCACCTGCCAGTGCACACAAGAACTGAAGCAGGGGCCCGGTCAGGTTGGGCTAAGAAGCTGCAGCATGTGTGAACGCTAGAGCTGTGGGTGAGCCAGGAAGGGCATCTTTGGGGCTGCCCTTACTAGGCCACAGTACCTGCTGGTGTACGTGAGGCAGTCTGGGTCTAGGCCGATGTGGGCAAGGCTGAACCATCTGCCAGTTCACATGCAAGCTGGGGCTCAGGATGGGATGGACCAGGCAGATGCCCCCACTGGTAAGTGCATTGGCTGGTACAGGGGATGGGCTGAAACTGACTCTGCAACAACAGGCACACACAATAGCAAAATCTGAGGATCTCCAAATGGATTTCTGTGCATGAACCCCAACTGCAGGGAAAATCGCAAAGATATGTGGTCTAAACCTGGAACACATGTTCTAGGACTGGGCCACCATGGTTGCTGACTTCCATGCAGGAATAGAGAGCATACCCAGTTGTACACAAAAACCAAGAAAGCCAGTTCATCTAAGTCAAAAGAAGACTTCAAGTACCTCATCAGAAGAAGGGAAGAAGGACAGATTGAACAATACTCCTGGCCAAGCTTTGCAGCAAACTCAGTCTGTGAACACACTGAAGCATAAATGATTAGCTAACCTTAGAAAGAATATCTCACCTCTGATGTAACAAATCTGACAACTCCTTAGAACAATGAACGCCCTCAGAACATTGTTTTTCACATCAGGGGACATCATATGACCATCTCCATCTCTGCGCACAGATGTAGTTTGACAGCAAGAAACAATGCACTACCACTGTCCTTCGCAAGGCCCAGAAGAAAAGACTGCAACATTTGTCTCACCCACCTTCCTGTACGCATTCCGATCCTCTCTACCTGAATTGGAGATCCACAGTGGTCTGCAAACCCCTTATTTGTGTAATCAATTTTTAAATAAAAGTTTTTAAAGATCTATAGGTGCCCCATAATTACACATTATCTGTATACCAACATATGCTTTAGGTACTAACCATACCCACTTTCTAGCAACTGTTTATATTCATGAAGGAGAAAAGATCTGATCTTCAGTCACTGTACTTGAAGAATGTGAGTAGGGCTCAGTGCAGTGGTTCAGCTGGTTAATTGTCCCATTCAAAGCACCGGCATCTCATGTGGTTGTCTGTTTGTGTCCTGGCTGCTCCATTTCCCATCCAGCTCCCTGCTTGTAGCCTAGAAAAGCAGTAGAGGATTGCCCAAAGCCTTGGGACCCTGCATCCACATGAGAGAAGAAGCTCCTTGCTCCTGGCATCAGACGGGCTCAGCTCCAGTTGTTAACGGCTATTTAGGGAGGGAATCAGCAAATGGAAGATCTTTGTCTCTGTCTCTCCTTCTCTCTCTCTCTAAATCTACCTTTCCAAGGAAAATAAATAAATATAAAAAAAAAAAAAGAGAGAGAGAGAGAGCAGCTGGAAGTCGAATTAGCACCTATATGAGATGGCAGCATTTGATGTCCTGCAATGACAGGAACCTGGAACATTGTCTGGGACTCCCACATAGGTAGCAGGAGTCCAAGAACTGGAGCTTTCAGTTGCTTCTCTTGCAGGCATATTTAACAGAAACTGGATTTGAAGTGGTGCAGCTAGGACTCAAATCTGCACTCCAGTATGGGATATTGTGTCACAAGTGGTGGCTTATATCACTGTGGAATAAAGCCAACTGTGTTAGAATTCCTTTTCTTAATTGTTAACTCAGATTTTAAATTTTAATTGTCTTTTGAATGTTTTATGTGTAAGCCGTAAAATGATTTTAGCATATGAAGTATGAGCTAAAAGTTTACATATTGTAGCTTTACAGTGGTTGACAGGGGAATAAAAGGTGTGTTTGGTAGACTACAAAAGCCAAATGGCAGGAATGGCTTTTTAATGGCGTGAGTATATAAATATTTATTTTGAACCCCTGAATGAAAGCATTATTGAATTCTTTGGGCAGGTTTTTCTTCTAGAAGACTTCTACAGTGCTTACTCATGTAGTGTATTATATTTCCATGATCAGAAAAAAAGCCCTATTTTTTGTGTGACTCAGTGTAATTGTTTTCATTATCTGGTTCTTTTCTAGTAAGAAAAAATAGATGGAGGTTCTGATTTTTATTTTGCATAGTTTGTATTTTTTCTTGATAAGCAATTTTGAGACAATCTGTGTTCTTCCACATTTTATTTTGGTCTCAATAACCTGGAACTTAGAGTTCGCATGAGTGTAAGTGTGAGCAGTCGTAAACTGATCTAAAGTATCTGTCACTATCAGGCTCAAATTGACTTCTGCTATTAGAATAACAATTTAAAAAATATATATACTTCTTATAGATATATTTTTAAAGGTTTATTTAGTAACTGTAGTAGAGACTGTCACATGTAAATGTAAAGATACAATGCAGTATGCATCTGTACTTACAAATCAAAGATGGACTCTCAATGAAACTGTTGAATGTATCTTGACAATAGGATGCTGGACTTGCCATTGTCCATGTCTACAATGTCAGGATACACTTAAATAGAATGACGGACTTACGACTGATTATGAAAGACTATACTATTGTAGTGATATGGGAGAATTCGGAAGGAGGTAGGGATTTGGGGAGAGGAAAGGGGAAATCCCAGAGCCTGTGGAACTGCAGCATGGAATAATAAATAAATAAATATTAAAAAGATTTTTTATTAGAAAGGAAGATCTACAGAGAAAAATTTTCCATCCACTGATTCATTTCCCAAGTGGCTGCTGAGCTGATCCGAAGTCAGGAGACAGGAGCTTCTTCTGGGTCTCTGGCATGGGTGCAGGGTTCCAAGGCTTTGGGCCACCACCCACTGCTTTCCCAGTACACAAGCAGGGAGCCAGATGGGAAGTGGAGCAACTGAGACACAAACCAGTGCCATATGGGATACTGGCATATGCAAGGCAAGTATTTAGCCATTGAGCCATCGTGCTGGGCTCTGTTGTAGATGCCTTGAACATGGGTAATGTTCTCCAGCTCATCCTCAAAGGGAATAAAGAAGGAGGCACACTCCCCATCTGGAAGACTTGGAAGAAGCTCCTGGATCCTGGCCTAGGATTGGCTCAGCTCCTACCATTGCGGCCATTTGGGGAGAGAACAAGTGACTGGAAGATTTCTCTATTTCTTTCTCTCTCTCCTCTTCTGTAACTGTGCCTTTAAATGAAAATAAAATCTTTTCAAAAAGAGTCACTTGAGGTATTATAGTATTGATATACTGGTTTAATTTAAAGTGTAATACTATGATAATTTTTTATACAATAATATATCCAATCTATTGTATAATTTTAAAATACAGGTAGTTCTGATCTAAACATTTCTTCAAGTCCACCAGAAGGAGACCCAACAATATGTTCTATGTCCACTGTACTCTACCTTACTCCTGATGCAAGATCTGCAGATAGCATGACGACTAAAGTAAGTGTTCATAGAATTCTACAATTAGATCAAGGACACATTGGATAGAATACCAAGTTAAAATCGTGAACTATGATAGTTGTCATTCCAACAGAAGCATAATCTCCATCAGAAAAATGTCAATATCTTTATAGTATAACTCAGCCAGCAATACGCAAAGCAGTAACTATAGGTACTGCCACAGATAAACCAGATATAAGTTACTGAAAATTGTGTTCTCTAAACATGAGTAAAAATCAGCCCACCATGGCTGCACACACTGTTGATTAGGGCCACAAGGGGTTGTGGAGATCAACAGAGGTGGAAAGCCTGCATGACTGGTCACCAAAATAGGGACAGGCCAGAGGGAGGGGGAAACTGAGGATTATTTAGGGTGTAGAAAGTGATTACTGAGGACTTCCATGGAACAGGCTACTGTACCCACATGTAAGCAACAGAGCTGGACAGGTGATAGAACGGATAGGAGGGCCCAAAAGGTCTCCCAGGGCTGGACTGCTTCACCTGCCAACACATAGGAGAGCTAGGCCTAAGGACCAGCCAGGAGGTCGTGCTAAGATGATCTACTGAGGCCAGGCTGTTATACCCTCTGGTGTATGTGAGATCGGGATAGGGCAGCCCAGGACAGGTTCCATCGCCCACTGGGACATGCAAATACAGGGTGGGTGGGGGGTCACCCTGAACAATCCAAGCTACCTACCAGTGAGTGAAATAGCTGAATCTGGGGCTCAGCCACTGGCATACCCACTGGTGTTCTTGAGAGTGGGGCATCAACAGTGGGAAATCAAGAGGTCTACTCAGCTGTGCCACTGTACCTGCCAGTGCCCATGAGAGCCAGGGCTGGAGACAGGCTGAATCAGTCCACCGCACCCACAGGCACTCACTGCTTATTTTGAAAACATTGCTTCATAGTTTAAAAACTTAGCAGAAATTAAAAAGAAATCCCAATGAGGTGAGCACTACTACTTTTCCCATTTTACAGTTGAGAATTGCTGAAGTTCAGAGAGGATAAATAATTCACTTTTATCCACACTGTAAATGATGGATCTGGGATTTCAATCCAGTTTAATCTAGAGTTTTAAAAATATGCTCGTATACATATCCATCCATAAATTTAAATATATTCTTAAAAATGGGAGCATTGCCTAAGAGCAGTGATTAGTCAGTCCACAGTGGCATGATGTTCCCTGAAATTCTTGTGGGGTTAAAGCTATTGTTACAACAGGTATTTGTTGTTTTCATTGTACTCTGCAAGTTATTTATTGTAAGATTCAGCAAGGGTGGAGAATGGCAGATATATTCTTGGATAAAATATGAGAAACCCAAGTAAGGGATTTTCTCTAATTTTTAAAAACTAATCTGGAGGGCCTGGCGCGATAGCCTAATGGCTGAAGTCCTCACCATGCATGTGCCAGGATCACATATGGGCCCCGATTCCAATCCCTACTGCTCTACTGCTTGTGGCCCGAGAAAGCGGTCAAGGATGGCCCAAAGCCTTGGGATCCTGCACCCATATGGGACACCCTGAAGAAGCTCGTGGCTCCTGGCTTCGGATTGACTCAGCTCCGCCATTGCAGCCACTTGGGGAATGAATCAATGGACAGAAGATCTTTCTGTATCTCCCTCTCTGTATATCTTTCTTTCTGATAAAAATAAATAAATATTAAAACAAAAAACTATTCTCTTGGGGCCAGTATGGTGATGTGACAGGCTAATTCTTCTCCCATTGGAGCTGGCATCCCATATGGGCACTGGTTTTCACGTCCCAGCTGCTCCACCTCCAGTCCAGCTCTCCGCTGATGGCTTGGGAAAGCAGTGCATGAGCCCTGTACCCACTTGGGAGATGTGGAAGAGGCTCCTGTCTTCTGATTGGCTCACCTGTTGCTATTGTGGCCATTTTGGGAGAGAACCAACAAATGAAAGATCTTTCTTTTTAAAAGATTTATTTATTTTTATTGGAAAATCAGATTTACAGAGGGAAGGAGAGACAAAGAGAAAGATCTTCCATCTGCTAGTTCAAGCACCAAGTGGCTGCAGTGTCCACAGCTGAGCTGATTTGAAGGCAGGAGCTTCTTCCAGGTTTCCCACGTGGGTGCAGGGTCCCAAGGCCTTGAGCCATCCTCGACTGCTTTCCCAGGCCACAAGCAGGGAGCTGGATGGGAAATGGAGCAGCCAGAATACAAGCTGGTGTCCACATGGGATCCCAGCGCATTCAATTCAAGGCAAGGACTTTAGCCACTAGGCTACTGTGTCAGGCCCCGAAGATCTTTCTGTCTCTCTTCTGTCTAAAAATCTGTCTTTAAATTTTTTTTAAAAAATCTTAGTTGAAAAATATTCTCTTTAGCTCAAAACTTATGCAGGCAAGAAAGGAGATTATTAGCTTTTCTGAAGCCAGTGTGATGTAGCTTAAGGGCACAAGTAATGTGAGATATTTTATGGTTTCTATTGTGTCAATTACTTGATATAATGCATGTACCCATAAAGAGGCAAGTACATTCTAAACACACAATTATTTATTGCTATTATTTCCATTTGAAATGTAAACAACTTGAAACTCAGAGGAGATTTGCCCAAGGTTAATGCAGTTGAGTGAATGACAGGTTCTCTGAATCCGACTTACCTACTCTTTTACCTTATCATTATATTTAGTATCTTTTTTAACTACTTTGAAGACGTAAGAAATTCTGACTTAGAAAACTATTTTAGCAAGTTATTTGTTGAATGAAGTGTCTGCTCTCTGAAGTGATGTTACTTGACCAGAGTTGTCATCTCAGAAATGTTTTAAAATTTTAATTTTATTTGAACTTCAAATTAAAGAGCTTTTTTTTAAAAAAAAATTACAAGTGGATATTTTCCATTTAAAAAAAATTTAAGTCTTTTTTTAATTGAGAGAGTTTTAGAGAGACAGAGGTGTCTTTCAGGGTTGCTCTAGACCAAGCCCAGGAACCTGGAGCTGTAGCTGGGTCTCTCATATGGGTGCAGGGGCCCAAGGAATTGGATTGTCCTCCACTGCTTTCCCAGACACATTAGCAGGGACCTGCAGCAGAAGCAAAGAAGCCAGGAATCAAATCAACACTCCAAAATGGACTGATGACTTGCAGAAGGCAGCATAGTACACTACATCACAATGGGCTTGCCCCTGTTTTCCGTTTCCATTCATTTTATAAAAGCAATCCAGCAGCTTGCTTTTTCTCTTTATTGGAAAGCCAGGTATACAGAGAGGAAGAGAGACAGAGAGGAAAGCTCTTCAGTCTGCTGACTCACTCCCCAAGTGGCCACTACGGCCAGAACTGATCTGATCTGAAGGCAGGAGTTTCTGCAGGTGCAGGGTCCCAAGGCTTTGGGCCATCCTCCGCAGCTTTACCATTGCTTTTTAACTTTTTTATGTCAACAATGTCAGTTTTCTAGAAAAAATCACAAAAATAATGCAGAGTTCCTACATACCCCTCATCTAGTAGGTGCTAATTTTGGCAAAGCATAGCAATTAATCTTGTGTCAATGACTTACTGGTAATTGAATCATTAAAGTATTGAATACAGTTAAATTTACCTTTATAATGAAATTTATAAAACAAAATAATTGTGATTTTTTTTTTTACAGAATTTTCTAGGGGGTTTACAACACATTGATTTGGATGAGCTTGCACGCCTACAGTGTAACCAGAAAATAGTGCCAAAGTCAGCAGTTGCATCAAAAGCTGTTATGCAAGGTTTGCTTTAGCATTTTTAAAGAGCTATTATAAAGAGGCTTAGTGAATATACATGTGGAATCGAATTTCTGTTTTGAATTCCTTACCTTCATGTTAAGTTTTTCATATGTTGTGAGATGAAATAGAGCTAATCATTCCTGAATGCCTTTCCTTAGTTGTTTTACATAAAATCACATTAGTAATAGAATACGTTCTGTTAAGTTGGCTAACACATGCTCTTTAAACTTGTTCTCATTTGGAACCAGTCATGGAGTGGACAGATCTTAACTTGAATCAAGTAAGTTTCCTGATGCCTTAGATACTCTTGAAAAAAAAATATTAATGGTGTTGGAGCAGCTGAAGCTCTGGTGCCTCCACTTCTGATGCAGCTCTTTGCTAATGCACCTAAGGAGGCAGTAGGGGATGATGCAGATACTTGGGCCCATGCATCCAGGTGGGAGAGCTGGTGGGTCTCTAGGCTCCTGGCTGCAGCCTAACCTAACCTGGGACTTGAGACCATTGAGTGAGTGGTGTCACAATCTCTGTCTCTCTCCTTCTCTCCCCACCCCTCTGTTTTTCTCTCCCCTCCCTCTTCTTGCCCGTCATCTTCTCCCTTCTCTCTCTTTCTCTGTAACTGCCTTTCAAGTAAATAATGTTTAAATCGTGTTCTTATCACACATTTTTAAGAAATTATTTATTTTTATCGAAAAGGCAGAAGGGAGAGAGAGAAAGATTTATGCACTGGCCAACTCCCCAAGTGACAGCAATGGCCAGAGCTGAGCTGATCAGAAGCCAGGAGTCAAGAGCTTCTTCAGGGTCTCCCACATGGTGCAGGGTCCCAAGGCTTTGGGCCGTCCTCTACTGCTTTCCCAGGCCACAAGCCGGGAGCTGAATAGGAAGTGAGGTGACCTGGGCACAAACTGGTGCCCATATGGGATCCTGGAGGATGCAAGGCAAGTATTTAGCCACTGAGTCATCATGCCAGGCCCACATATCACACATTTTTTAAAAAAGTGTTGAGACATGCATGACTATAGTTGATTTCTTAATATTTTAATATCTGCCCAAATAAATGACATAAATATACTAGTATTTTGCTCAACAAGTATCCATTGGAGAAACAGTGGAAATTCCAAGGAAGAGCTAACAATTGATTCTTTCTCTAGCATAAAAAGTTCTTCCTTAACCTAAAATAAATTAATATGTCAAGTGAAGACTTTTATCTTCTTGAAAATTTTCCTATAATCAAAGCATTTAACATTTCTGTATTTCATTAGATGTATTTCAGTACATGGAGAGATATAATTTTTTGAGTATCTAAATTGTTTACTGACAAATTATTGCATAACATTTACTCACATTAAAACAAGGAAAATAATTGGGTCTAGCATCATGGCATAGTAGGCTAAGCTTTTGCCTGATAGTGTTGACATCTGCCTGCTGTACTTCCAATCCAGCCTCATCTTATGGCCTGGGAAAGCAGCTCAGTCCTTGGGTCCAGAACCCAGATATTACACCAGGAAGAAGCTCCTGGCTTCAGATTGGCTCAGCTCCAGCCACTGCAGCCATTGGAGCCATTGGGGAGTGGACCAGTGGATAGACGATCTCTTTATGTCTCTCTGTAACTCCACCTCTCAAATAATATATTTTATATTCTCTATTAAAGCATTTGTAAATATCTTTCACACTATTTAAATTTTTGTGAGTTCCAACCAAAGTTCACCTGAATTAGCACTTCCTTCTACTTCTAAAAAGTATGGTGTTAATCCCAGACAGCCAAAGACCAGTGCAAGTGTTTCTGAGATAAATCTGTCTGTTTTGTTGTCTTTAATGGACTATTCTTCAGAGACATCCCTCCACTGTGTAGAAATAGCAGAAAGTATGAAGTCTTTCGTGTAAAACAGATATTGTATTGCTTATACTTAAATATTAGCAATTTGATGAATTTTGAAACATGTTATAGTTATACAAGGTTATGCAGGATGAATTTTAGTCATGGAAGCCTTCATTTATTTTAGGTACAGATGCCTCATCATCTGTCCGAAAAGCTTGTCCAAGATGCAGTACTGAGTTCAAGCTTTGCATTGCTTTGAAATGCCACATGAAGGTAAAATTATGTTTAAGTTCAATTTTTAAAGTGTTCACAAATCCCTGAAAAGAGTAATGATTAGTAGATAAGTAAATACTGGTTTATTTAAATATTAAGCCAAATCTCATGTTGATAATATCATAAAACTTAAGCAAGAATTAAGCATGGTTATCATTATGCAGCATTTTTGCAGTTCTTCTGAATCATGACATTTTAAAAAATAGGTTAATGTACATTACAGTGTATGTATATGACACTTTAAATGAAAGTGATATATTAATCAAAGTATTGTATTGATTTAACCATGTCATTGTTTAAACTTCTTGTAAAGCAAACTTTTTTATTAGATGCTTGATATTTGATATAACCTAAAAATTCCTTATATTTGTCTTATATTGTATTATATTTTCTTATATTGTGGTGACCTATGCATGTTCATTGTTCAAAAAAATCTTAGTTTTGCATTTTAATTTTCAACTCAAAAGTAAACTAATAATGGAGGTGATGGGGCCCGGCACCATGGCCTAGCAGCTAAAGTCCTCGCCTTGAACGCCCCGGGATCCCATGTGGGCGCCGGTTCTAATCCCAGCAGCTCCACTTCCCATCCAGCTCCCTGCTTGTGGCCTGGGAAAGCAGTCAAGGACGGCTCAAAGCCTTGGGACCCTGCACCCGTGTGGGAGACCCGGAAGAAGTTCCTGGTTCCCGGCTTCTGATCAGCGCAGCACCAGCCGTTGAGCTCACTTGGGGAGTGAATCATCGGATGGAAGATCTTCTCTGTCTCTCCTCCTCTCTGTATATCTGACTTTCCAATAAATAAATAAATCTTTAAAAAAAATAATGGAAGTGATGATTTTATTTCAGCCTAGAATATACTTAACTTTTAACTACCTTTTTTTTGGTGTCAGAAACTTGGAACTGGATTTTAGGTAAATTTCAAAGTACTATTGACATATGGGATTTAGATAATGTTCCACTTAAAATATTTTGGTAGATACTACAGTATTCTGGTATATCAGTGTAGAAATGCTTTGCTATCCTTGAATGTCAAGTATTAATGATAAGGAGGAAAGGACTTTTAAGATTTGTTTATTTGTTTGTTTGTTTGTTTGTTTGTTTTTATTGCAAACTCAAATATATAGAGGAGAGACAGAGAGGAAGATCTTCCATCCGCTGATTCACTCCCCAAGTGACTGCAACACCAGAGCTGAGCTGATCTGAAGCCAAGAGCCAAGAGTTTCTTCTGGGTTTTCCACACAGGTGCAGGGTCCCAAGGCTTTGGGCCATATGGGGCCTACGCTGTAGCCTAGTGGCTAAAGTCCTCACCTTGTATCCTTCAGGATCCCATATGGGCACCAATTCATGTCCAGGCCACTCCACTCCCTGCTTGCGTCCTAGGAAAGCACTAGAGAACAGCCCAAACCCTTGGGACCCTACACCCGCATGGGAGACCCACAGGAGCTCCTGGCTCCTGGCTTCTGATCTTCTCAGCTCTGGTCATTGCAGCCCCTTGAGGAGTGAAGTAGCGGTGCCGGGGGTGCGGGCAGCGGGGAGTTCTTCCTCTCTGTCTCTCCTTCTCTCTGTAAATCTGACTTTCCAATACAAATAATAAATATTTTTAAAAATCTGCAAAGCACTGTGGATTAAAACAGTGATGAAGAGAGTCCAAAGCAATTACTTAGAAAAAGGTATTTATCACTGTTTCAAGGATTAGCAGTTTTTTAATTAAAATTCCGCATTTCACAAAACATTTTGGAGAGAAATAATTTTCAAAATTCCAAATTGAGCACTCTATATTCTGGGACAAAGCTGTGTTGAATCTGTTACTTCTTTCATCTCCCTGATTATATTTGAGAATGGTGAATATTAACTCTGTTTTCATTGATACCCTCCAACTCCATTTTGTGGTGTTGCTCTTTGGAGCAAAGATGAATATCTTATAACTTTATTGTGAGTATGGATTTTTATACAACATCTTTTTGTCTGATTGTTTAGTGCGTTTAAGCCTGAATTCTGTTTTGTCTTATCCTAGGCTCACAACGCTTGATTTCTTATTTTCCATGTGTCTTATTATTATTTTACGAGTATCTCGAACTCTTCCGCATCACTTTGGTTTTGCTATATTTCTTATCCTTGGTAGTGTTCTTCTTTATTTTGTGATGTTATTTTCTGTTAGGAGTTAAACCCATTTATATTCACTGATTAAGAGATTTAATTGGTCTAATAGATGTAATTGCTCTCGTTTCTGTCAATTTTTGTAAAAGTTTGTTTTTCATTTAAAAGGCAGACTTAGCAGAGGAGGAGAGACAGAGAGGTCTTCCATCCACTGCTTCACTCTTAAATGGCCACAGTGGCCAGAGCTGAGCTGATCTGAAGCCAGGGGCTTCTTTCTTGGTCTTCTGTGTGGGTGCAAGAGCCTAAAGACTTGGAGCATTCTCTTCTGCCTTCCCAGGGAGCTGGATTGGAAGTGGAACAGCCAGAACTCAAACTGGAACTTAGGTGGAATGTTCGTGTTGCAGGAGGAGGATTACCTGACTATGCCACCACACCGGCCCCAGTTGCAGTTGTCTTTTTTCTTCCTTTTTTTTAAGCCATGCTTTAAAGTTTTTCACATTATGATTGCTTTTAAGCAGTTTTTTTTTAAATTTATTTGAAAGAATTACAGAGAGAGGGACAGAATGAGCTTCCATTCACTACTTTAATCCCCAGAGAGCTGCAATGGCTGGGGTTAGCCCAAGCCAAAGCCAGGAGCTTCATTTGGATCTCCTATGTGGATATCTGCGGGTCCAGGAATTTCAGTATGGTTGAAATAACCAGAGCTGTGCTGATATTAAACTGGGATCCAGGAGCTTCTTCCTGGTCTCCCATGTGAGTTCAGGGACTAAAGGCCTTGGGCCATCCTTCACTGCTCTCCCAGGCCATAAGCAGAGAACTGGATAGGAAGTGTAGACTGGCTGCTACGCCACCACACCAGGCTCCCTGCTTTGGGTTTTTATGAAAGCTTTTGTGTGTATGTTTTCTAGCCCAGTTTGTTTTATTATATAGTCTAGTCTATTTGTCTAAAATACACTTTACTGAGGTGTGCTTAACATACAAAAATCTATACACGTTTATATTTGATGAGTCTGGAGATCTAATCCAGCTGCCTGTTTATGACCTGGGAATGCAGGGAAGGATGGCTTCTGCACCCTTATAAGAATTCTGGAGAAATTTTACAACTGAAAGTGTGTAAAATAAGTTTTATCTTACTGAGGCAAAAAGATTCCTGTAAGTGTTTCACTTTATAGTTGGTTTATATGAGGTGTTGGTTTTATTCTTAAGGTAGATCACCTGTAAGATATGAAGGCATTTTAGCTCGGATGTGTTGAGCTTTTCAAGTTGTAACTGATACTTTGTCTATGCCTCACATTTTCTTGTGTTTAATGAATGGAAGGTTAGCTGTGTTCCATGTCTAGCTTTAGTCAGGTTTTTAGTAAAATACTACTACTGTTTGATAATGAAGCTTATACATAAAAGGCATATAAAACTACCCCTTCCTTTTTAAGTTCATCTTGGCACAAATATGAATTATATATTTTTGGATAAGAAACAAATTGTTATCAAATATTTGCATCTAAAAAGAAAAATTACAAGGAAAAATTGTCTATATGTGTGAACATCTCTGATCCTAAGGTTTCCAGTTTACTAGTGGTTTTTTCTGTGTGAAAATAATAGATATTTATTGTTGGAAACTTTATAAAATGTGTGAAGAAGGAAGCATTTTGGTGAATGTCTTTCCAGGTACAGATCAAATGCAGTTTGATGTAATCTGGTGCTACTTGTAAACAATCATTTATTAGTGTCTAATTTTTAAAAGATATATAAATGTGGCTTACATTTTTATCTTTCAGCGTTGTTGTCCAGATATGGCAAATAATTTTATGAAAACCAATGAACCCGGACTTTCACATGCAAAAAGCACCACTAAGGTTGATTCAGACAAAAAGAAATTAGTCATGTTAGTGAGCGACTTTTATTATGGACAATATGAAGGAAATAATGCGGAAGAAGCAAAGTGTTACACAACTTTTCAATGCCCCAGCTGCTTGAAAGTTTTCAAAAACAATATTAGGTATGTAAGTACTTCCCATTGCTTAAAAATAAGATACTATTGATCTGAATGTTGTATCTTTGTGACATTCCATCCCTAAGTAGATGAGTCTAGGAGCAAAGGCAGGTTATCCTCTTGAAAAGGGCTTGTTTTTATTTTAAAGGTTTGTTTATTTTGAGAGTCAGAGTTACAAACAGAGAAAGAGAGACTAGATTTTCCATCCTCTGGTTCACTTCCCACATGGCTGCAGCAGCCAGCTCTGGGCTAGGCCGAAGCTGAGGAGTCAGGAGCTTCTTCCCTGTCACCTTCATGGGTGCAGGGGTCAGGGACTTAAGCCATCTTCCACTGCTTTATCCAGGCCGTTAGCAGGGATCTAGATCTGAAGTAGAGCAGCCAGGATTCAAACTATGTTGAATGCCGGTGTCACAGGAAGCCTTAGCTACCATGCCACACTGCTAGTCCCCGAAAAGCTTTCAGTCTGTATCATTGAATGAAGAGGTTTTGTTTGTTTGTGTTTCTTTTTTTTTTTTTTACAATTTTTTATAATCTAGCTGCTTATTATTTTGTATAAAAGATTTATTTATTCATTGATTCATTTATTTGATAAAGTGACACAATGGAGAAAAAGATCTGTTGCATCTGCCGGTCTCCTTCTCAAATGGTTGCAGTAGCCAGAGCAGAGTCAGGATCAACCTAGGAGCCTGGAACTCCCTCTGGGTCTCACCTGTGAATTGTAAGGGTCCAGCTGCTTAAGCCATCTTCTGCTGCTTTCCCAGGTGCATTACCAGGAAGCTGTGTTGCAAACAACACCTGGGACTAGAACTTGGGCTCCACTACAGGGTGCCAGTATCACAAGCAGTTTAACCTGCTATATCCCAGTATAGCCCCAAGAGTCTTGCTTCTTTTCGTATCACAAGAACGAACCATTTTATTCCTTTTGACCACCTCCCTACTAGTCTCATTTAATGCTCAAATTTTTTCAATTCATAGTTATTTTTAGCACATTCACCTTGCAGAGAAACTGTTCTATTTTGGTTATCTGCTTTAGAGAAGTTTGATGTATCCTGACTCATTTAATTTTATACCTTAACACATTTTGAAACATAGATGTAATTCCTAGTAGAATTCTAAAGAATTTATAGTTTCATGAGTTTGCATTTTATTGTCTTTTGAGTTACATGGCATAACATGTATCTATCATCTTTTTTTTAAAGACTTATTTTAATTTTTATTGGAAAGTCACATATACAGAGAGGAGGAGAGACAGAGAGGAAGATCCTCTGTCCACTGGTGCACTCCCCAAGTGGCCTCAATGGCCGGAGCTGAGCCAATCCAAAGCCAGGAGCCAAGAGCCTCCTTTGGGTCTTCCATGCGGGTGCAAAGACCCAAGGCTTTTTGCGCTGTCCTCAACCGCCCTCCCAGGCCTCAAGCAGGAAGCTGGACAGAAAGTGGGGCTGCCGGAATTAGAATCATAGCCCATATGGGATCCCAGCGGTTGCAAGGCAAGGACTCCAGCCACCAGGCCACCACGCTGGGCCCGTATCTATCATCTTAAATGAAATATAGCAAACTACAAGATATACAGCTTGTTGTTGCTCAAAATCTGGTGAGGTTGTTTCTCCAACATTTTATTATAAAAATTTTCAAGTAGTTCCAGCCATGCAACCATCTGGGAATGGAAGACATTTCTGTCTCTCTTCTCTGTAAATCTGCCTTTGAAATAAACTAATCTTTAATTTTTTAAGAAAGTTAAAATAGGAAAGAGAAGTAAAAAATAATTGTAGTTCATGAATAATTTTTTCTTTTTCTATTTTTTTTTATTTGAAAGGCAAGTTTCCAGAGAGAAGGAGAGAGAGAGAGAAAGATGTTCCATCCTCTGGATCACTCCCCAAATAACCACAATGGCTGGAGCTAAGCTCTCGCCCAGTGGCCCTAATGGCTGGAGCTAAGCTGATCTGGAGCCAGGAGCTGCAGTTGCCCCGGGTCCTCCATGTGGGTGCAAGGGCCAAAGAGTTTAAGTCATCCTCCACTGCTTTCCCAGACCATTAGCAGGGAGCTGGATTATAAGTGGAGCAGCAAAGACTAGAAATGCGCCCACAGTGGGATGCTGGTGCTATAGGCAGGGGATTAGCCTCTTGAGCCACCACACCAACCCCCATAATTTTTTTCATTCTATGTATTTCCACCAAGTTTTGAAGACCCTTTGTGTGCATGTACTTGAAAATTTTTGCACCTAAGTAAACTTTTTATTGTATATCTGTAGACATTATGAAATATCCTCAATTGAAAAATTGAAAAAAAGCTTACAGAGAACATCTATTTACCATCACATCTCTTCCATTAAGATTTTGCTATATAAAGTGTTTCTTATCTGAAACGCTTGCAGTCAAAGGTGTTTCAGATTTGAGGGAGTGAATATTGCACAGAACCCAAGTTAAAACACGAAATACATTTACATTTTATGTATGTCTTATTCACCTAACCTAAAGATAATTTCACCCGCTATTTTTAACATGCCTGTGTTTTGGCTATGATCCATACTATAGGGTCAGGTGTGGAATTTTCCACTCATGCTGTCATTTCAACCCTCAGAAAGTTTTGAATTTTGGAGCATTTCAAGTTTGGTTTTCAGCTTAACCTGTGCTTACTTTATCACATATATCTATTTATCCATAGAATCATCTGATTTTTTTGGATGCCTTTCTCCATTTTAAATTTTTATTTGTTATCTTAGAGGTAGAATAAGAAAGAGCAAAACCTCAAGAGCTCCCATTTACTGCTTCACTCCTCAAATGCCCCTGATGGCCAGGGAGGAGCGTGGGCCAGAGCTCGGAGCCAGGAATGCAATGCAGGTCTCCCACATGAGTGGCAGAAACCTATTACTTCAGCTGTCACTGTCACTGACACACGGCTACTGTATTGGAAGTCAGCTGTATTCAGGAGCCAGACATGAGAATTAAACAAATACAGGCACTCTGAAATATAGCACATTCATCTTAACTGCTGGGATACACTCTTTCCTAAGGTACCTTTCAAAGCAAATTGCAGGCATTTACCAAAACTAAGGGAGTAAAGATTTTTTTCAAAGTGTACCATACCTAGCTTTACAGAGAAGCAGTGTCTTGGAAATCTGAAAAAGAAAGAATTATAAAAAACCTTCACAACTATCACTTCAAGATTATTTTCTTTAAGGACTCATAGTAAGTAATTGTGAATAGTTGACCCAGTCTTAAAATTTTGATTGAATCACTTTACTTTAAAATTCATCGAAGAGGGATCAGTCAGCCTCAGGCTATCCTGCCAGCCCACTGCTCCTTCGCTGTGTGTTCAGTAAATCTTAACTCTGATCACTCCTGAAAAGAAACAGAAGTAAAGATAGAAGAGAGGGAGGGAGGGGAAAAAAACTCAACCTGGAACTTCAATACGTTCTTCAAAATAAGCATGCCTGTTTATACTTGTATATTTTTTTTTAACCACTGAAGGTCATAGTAGCTTCTCTTAAGCCTTTTAACGAAGTTGAAATAGCAAAATGTAGGACTGAAAAAATGTACATCTTGGAGGACTTCGAAAGATTTCTCTCATGATTCTAAAGCTTTTTAGTAGTAAAAGGAAGTAGTAAAAGGAAGGCTTCCTTCCTTTTAACATATTATGTGTAGAAAAGTAGGCTAGGACTGATCTTTACCAAAAAGAAATGTTTTATCTTAAATAATGATGAGGAATTGTAGCAAATCATTGATACTTCATATTGACCTCATTAATAAATTATTTTTAAAAAAATAAAGATAAAAGGAATAATGCTTATTGAGCCAGTTAATGAAAGTAAATTACTTAGGGTGCATATCTGGTTTTTTTTCAATTTTAATGTTTATTACAAAAGTGAGGGGGTTGCAGACTCATATGAGCCTCTGATTAGAGTGGAATGTGGAGGAGGTGGGTGAGAGCAGTTTCTGTCTTCCCTCCTGTGTCTGCAGAAGGGGGGGGGGAGTACATATCTTTTTAGAGTGCTTAAGGCCCTAGAGGTACAATTTTGAATCCTGCTACTGCATCTTTCAAACTTAGGTTCAAATACTTACTTGTAAAGTTTTTTATTGGTTATAAATCTGAATTTTTGCACCTGTTGACTATTATTTATAGATTCATGAACCACCTGAGATATCACGTGGCAACCGAAAAGCAGAGCAATTGTGAAAACCCTATCATCTGCCAGTACTGCTTCCGGCAGTATCCCACATCTTTCCAGCTGCAGTGCCACATTGAGAGTACACATACCCTTCAGGAAGTTTCTAGTAAGAGACAATTTCACTGAAGTTCTAAGCATTGATTTTTATAATCTGCACTGTGAAAAAAAAATCTTGTTTTTTTCAAATCAGAATAAGATTTGTAATGTGATGACACAATTGAAAAGCACATTTTATAAACTTAAATAAATTTTGCTACTATAGTTGAAACCCCTCGTAAATAATTCATTAGTGGAACTTCCCTGGCAGCACCCAAGCATTGTGTATAGGTGACTAAAACACCTAGATTCTGTGGTTTTCAAATTTGAAATCGCTGTCCTTGATTTACATTTTATTATGAAAAATGTAGCTACAGTGGCGGTTAAAGTTCAAGGTCTAATTGCTAGACAACTTGGATTCATATACCAGCTCTTCCTTTTAATACGGCTACAAGTTACGTGTAGGTTACTTAACCGTTCTGTGCTTCTGGATCTTCATCTGGAGAAACAGGGATAAAAATAACCATATCTCCCTCAGTGAAGTTATGAAAATTAGATAAGTTAATATCCACATAACACTATAGTTACCAGTTAGAGAATTGTTATAGCTACCGTCGTTACTATTCCTACTACTGTTACTACTTATTGTTATGGATGTACAGATTACTATTATTTATATTTTATATATGTTTATACATACACACACAAATATATGTGTATAAATATATATGTATATATCATTAGACTGATATAATTGTTTTTTTTTAATTTCAGCTATTTGCAGAATCTGTGAATTATCATTTGCATCAGAACGTATTCTTTTACTGCATATGAAGGACACTCACAAACCTGGTGAGATGCCATATATATGCCAGGTGTGTGCATTTTATTTTGTACTTAGGTATTTGCTTAATTTTCATCTGCTATGAAAATGTAGTTCCTCTGATTTTAGAAACCATTTAAATAACATTAGTTACTGTCCTAAAATTGAAGACCTTCTTCACTAATGAAAGCTCCCTTGATTTAATTTATGTATTACCTGGGGGTGGGGGCTGCATTTGACGTATAGGCTGTAGTCTCATGATAACTATACTAGACAGACACAAACATGTGAGCCTATCTTGTAAGAAAAATATAGGCATGCTGAAGAGAAAGGAGATACTCATGGTTGGAACCAGTTGAATGCTTTGGGATCATTATCTTTCCAGAATCAAAGTGCTCCCAGAAATGAGAAAAGAAGATAAATTGCCACTGACATAGCCTAGATGCTATTTGAAGTTTAAAGGAAAGAATACTCTGTTTTAGGTAGCCAAAAAATAGAGAGCAGGAAGTATCAGAGCTTGAAAGCTCAAGCCATGTCGGGGGTAGAAGAACTGAAATGAAGAAGGAAGGCCAGCTCTGATTTTGGAACATGTCCTTAAATTTTGCAAAGTAACTTTTCTGTTTCAGGAGTTATTATTACTTGCAGTTAGGAGATTCTTGCCTATATATAATCTTCTAAGGAAATGACCCGTAAGTGCTACTTTGAAATAATTGCATTTATGTTAAAAATTTTCATGTCAAACTAAACCTTCTTTACATTTCTAGGTTTGCCAGTTTAGATCATCAACATTTGCTGATGTGGAAACTCATTTTAAAACATTCCATGAAAACACTAAGCACTTGTTATGCCCCTTTTGCCTGAAAGTTAGTGAAATAGCAGCCACCTATATGAATCATTACATGAGCCATCAGGTGAGATTTAGTAATTTGTGTTGTCTAAATGAAAATAAATAAATATACCCACAAAGAGAAAACATTAGTTAAATTTGTTCTAGTTAGAAAGTAGAATTACTTGTGAAACTTGTTTCTTTGCCTGTTTGTTGTTTTTTTTTTTTTTTACCATGCTGAGGTTCATACATAAGTTTTTTTTTTTTTAAATCCTGAAAAATGACTAGAAATAGCAACTGTAGAAAAAAATAGAAAAGTTGAATACTTGATTGGCTATTTCAAGGTCTGAAGAGTGGTGGGAATGGGAATATTTTTGAAGGTAGTTATCCTGGGCATAGGAAATGGTATGTTTGAAATATGAAATTGAGAGCCCGTAACCTTCTTTTGTCCTTTTTTTCTTAACAACCTTATTTCTACTTTTTTGCCCACTCTTTATAATGGAAAGATATGCAACTATCATTAGTGACCCAGAATAGTCCTTTGTAGCAACTGGTTACAAAGGAACAGCAGTGACGCTTATTACCAGATATGTGAACTATGCCAGAGAACCCTAGGTTGTAACTTCTTTCCTACGTTCCTTTTACCAGTTCTGCCATGTAATTTCTGGGATGTCTATGTTAGTGCTTGTACTTTTCCCTGATCTTTCATTTTATGTTAACTGATTCTTTTCATGAAACTAGACTGTCCTTTAGCCAAAACTTTGATAAAACAGTGAGAGTTGTTGAGGGAAGGAACAACTATGCCTTTGCCAAAATCAGAAATCAGTGGATTTACAGAATTTAATTATTTAATACAGCTTTTCTTTCTTCACTGGTTAGCTCAATATATTTTACCATATTGCTTATATTTTCATGGCAAATTTCTTCAGCACTGGTAGTAACATAGCTTTTGGTTCATCACTATATAGTCATAAAATTAACTTGTTAAGTGGAAAACAATTTTTAAAAAGTAGAATTTCTGAACACACTCAAGATCACCTGTTATGACTGTGATGGTATCACATGTTCGAATATTTAAGATTTATTTATTTTTATTGGAAAGGCAGATATACAGAGAGTGTTAGTAGGGACAGAGAGAAAGATCTTCCATCTGCTGATTCACTCCCCAAGTGGTTGCAACAGCCAGACAGAGCCCAGCTGATCCGAAACCAAAAGCTTCTTCTGGGTCTCCTACATGCGTGCAGGGTTCCAAGGCTTTTGACCATCCTCTACTGCTTTCCCAAGCCAACAAGCAAGAAGCTGAAGGGAAATGGGGCAGCCAGGACATGAACTGGTACCCACATGGGATCCTGACGCATGCAAGGTGAAGATTACCTAATTGAGCCATTGCACCAGGCCCTGTAATTCCTTCATCCTCGTGGGCCCCCTCACCCTTAAGAACCTCTAGAAGAAGTTTTCTATTCTAGGATCTTCCTAGTAATGTGATGTCACTAAGTTGTTCCTAGGACTGATATCATGGTACAGCAGTTTAAACTCTGCATGGCTGGGACCCCTTATTAGAGTGTGAATTTGATTCCTGGTTGTTCCACTTCCAGTCCTGCTTCCTTCTAATGCACCTAGGAGGCAACAGAGGATGGCCCCTGCCACCCATGTGGGAGATCCAGATAGAATTGGTGGCTCCTTGCGCAGCAGTTCTGTTACAGCCATTTGGGCATGAACTAGCAGACAGATCTTTCTCTGCCTCCCCTCTCTATCTTTAATTCTGCCTTTCAAATAAACGAATACACATTTATAAAAGAAAATCACCTTCTCAGCCACACTTGCTACATTTCAGGTGCTCAGTGAGGGGCAGCACTGTGACATAGTGGGTAAATTCAACACCTGTAGCACTGGCATCCCTTATGGGCACCAGGTTGAGTCCCTGCTGCTTCACGTCTGATCCAGCTCCTGTTAATGCACCTGGGAGAGTAGCAGAGGATGGCCCCACTACTTGGGCCTCTGCAACCACATGGAAAACCCAGAAAAAGTTCCTGGCTTTGGCCTAGCCCCACCCTGGCAAATGTAGTCATTAGGGGAGTGAACCAGCAGATGGAAGACCTTTCTTTTTCACCGCGACACACATTTCTATCTCAATCTTTATATCTGCCTTCCAAATAAATAAAATAAATCTTTTTGTTTAATTATGTTTAATAACTACATGTAGCTGACATCTTCCAATTGGAAAGTGTGGCTATAGAACATTATCATCATTGCAGAAAAATTGATTGGGTAAACCAATTCAGTTGTTTATGTAACAACTTTCTTGGGAAGTTTTTTTTTTAATCAGATTTGTTGGGCTTATAAAGGTCAATCAAAATATTTTACCAACTCATGAAATAAATAGAAATAGCCAAAACTTTAAAAGAATTTATGTTTTAGGGCCCGGCGCCATGGCCTAGCAGCTAAAGTCCTCGCCTTGAATGTGCAGGGATCCCATATGGGCGCCGGTTCTAGTCCTGGCAGCTCCACTTCCCATCCAGCTCCCTGCTTGTGGCCTGGGAAAGCAGTCAAGGACGGCCCAAAGCCTTGGGAACCTGCACCCGCGTGGGAGACCTGGAGGAGGTTCCTGGCTCCTGGCTTCTGATCGGCGCAATACCGGCCATTGCGGTCACTTGGGAGTGAATCATCGGACAGAAGATCTTCCTCTCTGTATATCTGACTTTGCAATAAAAATAAAATGAATCTTAAAAAAATTTATATTTTAAAGTTAAAATATAGCAAAACATTTTCAGAGGATCATGTGCTTGGATAGCTCATACTATAAAATTTTTGTTTGTTTATACTTCAAATTTATAATTAACGGCTTTCATGCTATAGTTGCTATTAAACTTTTTCCGATTGGAATCTAATTGGTATAATTTTCAGAATGAATGCTTATATGGTAATATTGCTTTTGAAACTCAGTAATTCAAGGAGTGCTTTAAAAATAAAAATATTTTGATATATCTTGTGGAAGATAGTAAAATACTGATTTTTTTAGAAATTTAGAAATTAGAATAAAGCAATTTCAGGTAGCAGGGTTTATCATGATAAAAGATACTATTTCTGTGATTTCCATTAATATTTTATGTAAACAGAAAAAAGGAGTTCATCGTTGCACAAAATGCAGGCTGCAGTTTTTGACCGCCCAGGAGAAAATGGATCACAAATTACAGCATCGGACATTTATAAAGCCTAAAGAATTACAGGGATTGCCTTCAGGAACAAAAGTAAGTTTGAAATATATTGCATCTTTATTAATTTATTTTTATTTATTCAAGAGGTAGTGAGGTTGGCATTGTCTGGGCCACTCTCATCCCGTTTTAGTACCACTTCAAATCCCAGCTACTCACCTCCAGCCCAGCTCTCCACTGATGTGTCTGGGAAGAGGTGGATGATGGCTTGAGTCTCTGACACCTGCATGGCAGACCTGGCTGGAGTCTTTTGCACCTGGCTTCTTTCTGGCCTAACCTTGGCTATTGAGGACCTATAGAGAAGGAATCAAGATGGAAAGTCTCTCTCTACTTTCCTCACCACCCCTCCTTCCTTTCTCCTTCTATCATTCTGCCTTTTGAATACATAATCTTTAAAATAAATAACTAAATAAATAGGTACAGAGACAGACTGGGAGAGTTCCCATCTTCCCTTCTGCTGGTTCACCTCCTATTCCCTAAATGCCCAAAGGGCTGTAGTTGGAATTGGGGCCAGAGCCAAGAGCTTGAAATTCGGTCTAGGTCTCCCACATGTGTGTCAGGGATCCAGCTACTTCAGCTGTCACCTGCTGTCTCACAGGTCTGCACTGACAGGAAGCTGAAATTGGAAACTGGAGCTAGATATTGACCTCAGGCACTCCAACAGGAGATCCAGGCACCTTAACCCTATATCTCGGCTGCTTAGGTTGAACACCCACCCTTAAAATGTTGTGTTTTAATACGCTTTTATGAATAACAGAAACCTATTGAATGTAATATTAAAAATTGACTTCTACTTATTATAACCTTAGTTTTAGCTTTTATTATTATTATGCTTGGAAGTAAGAGCTTCTGACCCTCGCATTTGTCTCTTTTGTTTTTTGTTTTCTGTTGATGTGTGCTTTGCTGTATGCTTTCTCAGTGAGGGCAATAGGTTGATTGTACACTGGGTCAATAGGTTTCAATATTCTGCAGGCTTTGGGAGCTATTCCATTTGGCAGCATATATTTATGTCTGTTTCAGCAGCTAGATGATAAGGTGTTTTTAGGAATAATTGTGTTTGTTCTATCATTGTAACCCCAGCATGTATCAGTCTCTTGAAAACCATTCGTTTTGTTGAAGTTGGCATTACTGAATATATTCACAGAGAAACAAGTTCTGCTCTTGGGTAGTATTTGTTTTTAGTAAGGAAGCACACATCGAACTAAATTTTTCCTTTTTGCTGTCTGTATACACGTTTTGGACATGAATTAGCAGGCAGCTTTTTCTGCCTCCCCTCTCTATCTTTACCATTAGATAACATTAGCTCTTGAGAATTTGCTATAGGCGAGGGATGAATAATCAAAACTGAAATGAATAATCCCAAAATTTTTATGTTTGAGTTTGACTACATACCTTTGAATGTGTGTCTGGTATTTAAATTAATTAAAATCATGCAAACCAATACTCTGAATAGCTGCAATGAGGGGAACTAACCAATGTCCTTTGCTACAGTACATTCATCCCAAATTAAAACTGGATATGCAGGATACTGATAGTCCTCTTGCCTATCTTCCCATTCTGCTCATATACCACAAATAATAATAATAATAATTCTGAATTTCTTATGGAACTTTAGAATTAAACTTTCAGTTTCTTCATGCATACCCTTATTTGATCCATATGGTGGTGCAACGAGGTAGGTGAACCAAAGATTCCCATGCTATACATGAGGAGGCTTAGAAAAAAGAAAGTACTTACTCTTTTTCACATTTCTGGGAAAGAGGCAGAACTGAAATTTAGCCTCAGACCTTTTGGCCCCTGATTCAGTGCTCTTGTATAATATGAAACCACATGTATTTGATAGGCTTACATAGGCTGCTCCTCAAGCACGTGAGGGCAGTATAGTTAAATGATTAAAGTGAGTATTAATAGCTGACTGTGTTTTCTATTATTAGCCAATGAATATAAATATTTCATTTTCCAATTACTAGATAATACATTGTATATTAGCTCTCTTCATAACTAAGTTGTAGACATTGTTAAAAATCTCCGTGCTGTTGGGGCCTGGCGTGATGGCCTAGCAGCTAAAGTTCTCACCTTGAACATATCAGGATCCCATATGAGCACCAGTTCTAATCCCAGCTGCTCCACTTCCCATTTACCTCCCTGCTTTTGGCCTACGAAAGCAGCAGAGGACAGCCCAAAGCCTTGGGACCCTGCAGCCATGTGGGAGACCCAGAAGAGGCTCCTGGCTCCTGGCTTTGGAACAACTCAGCTCTGGCCCTGGCTGTCGCGACTACTTGGGGAGTGAATCAACAGATGGAATATCTTCCTCTTCATCTCTCCTCCTCTCTGTAGATCGGTCTTTCTAATGAAAATAAGTAAATCTTTAGAAAAAACAAAAATCTCCTTGTTGTATGAAGAATTAATGTAATCTCCACCATAACTTTAGGAAGCAAAACTCTTGCCTAATGAACTCCCAGAAAGAGAAGGTTATATTTATTGGAAACTGTTTTCTACTTACCAAAGGATAATACAGGTCTTTTCCAGCTATTTCAGGCTTTGAGTTAAATTTTGATCTCTATATTTGTGAAAGCTTTTTAGTTGCCTTGAAGATCAAAAATACCCATGGAGGAACTAGTGCTGCAGCACAGTAGGTAAAGCCACCACCTGCAGCACTGACATCCTATATGGGTGCCAGTTCAGATTCCTGCTAATGGCCTGAGGAAAAGCAGCTGAAGATGGCTTAAGTGCTCCCAACGGTCCCTGCATCCATGTGGGAGAAAAACCCATACCCATTAGCTGCAATTCCATTTCCCCTCCGCTAGTCCTGTGCAAACTTTATTTATTTTTAGATCCTATTGATTTTCCTATTCTGAAATTTTCCATAGGCAAGAGAGGAGGAAAGACAGAGAGAAAGATCTCTGTCCAATGATTTACTTCCCAAGTGGCCACAATGGCCAGAGCTAAGCTGGTCCAAAGCCAGGAGCCAGGAGCTTCCTCAGGGTCTCCCACACGGTGCAGGGTCCCAAGGCCTTGGGCCGTCCTTGACTGCTTTCCCAGGCCACAAGCAGAGAGCTGGATGGGAAGTGGAGCTGCTGGAACATGAACCAGTGTCCATATGGGATCCCGGGGCGTTCAAGGCGAGGACTTTAGCTGCTAGGCTACCACCCTCTAGGGTTTTATGTTTGTTTTTTAATTTGTTAATATTTATTCATTTATTTGAAAGGCAGTTAGAGAGAATGAAATATAGAGATATTTTGCATCTGATGGTTCACTCCCCAAAAAGGTCTCAGTGGCAGGAACTGGACATGTCTGATATCAGGAGCTTCTTCCCAGTTTCTCATGTTTAGTATTTATATCTTTAAAGAAATGCCTGTTCATTTATTTTTTTCCTTATTTCCTTGTGGTATTGCTGACAAATTAAGAAACCATTGTCTAGCAATGGTCATGAGAATTTACTCCTGTACTTTCTTGTAGTTCTGCACTTTTAGCTCTTAAAATTTGTTCATTGATATACATTGATTTAATCTTTGTGGTATAAGAATAAGGAGTTTGAATTACTCTTTCATTTAACTATCACCTTTTACAGCAGCATTTGCTAATACGACTATTCTTTTCTCCATTGAATTGTTTTGACACTATTTTCAGAAACAATTGGTCATAAGGTGAGGGCTTGCAGTTGGTGATATTTTTTTATACTAGTATCAAAATTCATTTTATTAAAGGTTACTATTCGAGCTTCATTTGGACATCTTCACTCAAAATCACTAATTAAAAGTTCTATAAGCACTTCTCTTGAGGTTTTGCCTCCATGCCGTGGTAGTACGTCTGCTACAAGTTCTACAGATGCCAGTGCAAGCAAGACAAGTAAGCCTGACGAGACTTTATCCAGTGGAAGTCCAGCTAGCACAACTCAGCTACAGGGAGATACAGCTGACCCTTGCATGAAACCCATTACCCAATTGAAGAGTCAGCGCAACGGAAGAAATACAATCAGCATAGCTTTGAAGAAGTTAAGGTACCACCCTCCATTCCTGATATACAATACTAATTTAATCTTCAGTATTAATATTTACTTTAATGTAATTTACCATATCACAGAACTGTTTTGTACACTCTTACCTAGCATAATTAGTTACTTGGTATAAAACCCAAGCAAATTATTTAAAAGATACTTTTGTACAGTTGCTGGACAGGAATTAAATTACCGTTTATTTTATAATTTCCATGTTCACACTAATTGTATACTTCATCTTGTGATATATGAGTTAGTTATTTCATCTTTTCTATTCCAGGGAAATAGTAACTGGTATTAGATTTTTTTTTACAGTTAATTTAGCTAGTTTTAAAGCAAATTTTGAAATTATAGTCTCTATTTAAAGATTAATTTAAACATCTTGACTTCAACTAAGAAGCAAATAAGGCTTTTCATTATTTTGTTTTACAATAATTTTAAACCACTTTTCTGCATTTGTAAGGTGCCGTCAGGAGATACACACGTGCATCGAGTGTCACTCCAAAATAAAAGATTTTGCAAGCCACTTTTCTGCAAATATACACTGCAGTTTTTGCAAATACAACACTAACTGTAATAAAGCCCGTAGAGAGCATATGACAAGGTAAGTTAAGCATGCAAACTGTAAATCAAAGTTATCATTCAGGAAGCTAATTTTTTTTTAAAACAGTGTCTCATCATGGAGATAAAAATATGCAGCAAGAGGGAGGTTGTAGGAAAATCATTGTACTTTTTTAATTGTAACAATTTAATTTTGATAATTTTTACATTTGATTAGGTTATAAAAGGTCAAGGGCTAGAGGAAAGTGAGTGAAACCATTGTTTTCACATTCTTTCTTACTTCCTGTAACTGGGGGGAGAGGAGGGATAAGGGAAGCCACACCCAGCCTCCCAACCATCCCAGGGTCCCAGATGTAGGGCATGATCCAAGGACACTACTCAAGTGCTACAATTCTGTATTGTTGGCGATCTTGCCACTCCAAACGTGATGCAATCTCTCCAGACTCCACTGGCTGACATAGTCCACCTTAGAGTCTGTTTGCCCAGGCATTCTTGGCAGGGGTACTTGATCAATTTGTTATGTCCTTCATCCTCTATTATGGTACCAGGTGTCCTCTGTAGGCTCCAGTGTACTGCCATATCCTCCATGTGCATCTGGATATGCTGTCCACTGCTCCATCTAAGCTCTTGAGGAGTCCCAGCTCTGACACATGCATTCCATGGTCAGACCTTGGAATCTGCAGTTTTCTCCATGGTTAGAGTTCCGAGTCCAGTGGTTCACTTGGGGGGATTCCCAAAGAAACCTCATCTGAGGTGATTCCAGAACTGATTCTTGTGTGTGCTTGCCCAATGCAGGGTCCAGTCAGTCTGTCGCCCCAATTTGCCTACGCACACACTACTGGGTCAGTTCTGTCTCCAGCCCTGTCTTCTATGCAAACTAATGGGTGTTGCAGTCCAGCCCAATCCTGCCCACCACATGCTTGGCCCTCATGCAAGCCAGTGAGAGCTTCAGCCTAGTTGGAATGACCTGCAATAACCCCCACCAGATCCGCCCCCTGCCCTGGTTCCCATGCTTGCCAGCATGAACAGCAGACTGGTCCATTCTGTTTCACATCCCACTGAGCTCTCGTATATGTCAATGGGAACAGAAACCTAATTCAACCCAACCAACCAGCCCCTCTATCCAGCAAACACATGTGCTAGCAGGTGCTACTCTGTCTAGCCATGCCTGCCCCTAGTCCTGGTTTCCATGCTCACCAGCTGGAGTGGCAACCCAAGAGGGAGATGCTTACTGCTTCCCTAATGGGCTCACTCCCACTCCTGGATCTTGCACTCACCAGGTGGTACTGAAGTTTAACTTTTTCTTCCTGTGCCAGCATCTGCTAGCTGATCCACACCCACTCTGGCTTATGCTTGTACCAGTAAGTATAATCTGTCCAGCCTGGCTTGTGCTGGATCCAGCTTACATGAAGGCCAACCGGTGTTGTAACCCTTTCTGGCTTGGTCTTCCCCCAATCCCAGCTTTCACTACAATCCCAGCTTACCACTACCAGTGGTAGTAGTGACCCAGCAGAGGAGCACCTCACAGCTCCCCTACTGGGTTCACCCCTTGCTGCCCTGGATCTCACGTATGCTACTTGCGTGCTGCAACCCAGTCTGGCATGGCCCTCCTCCCCTTGGCATTTGCTAGGGGTGCTATAGCCTGGTCTGGCCCTGCCCATCCCTAGTTCCTTCTCACACTGGTAGGGACTACAACCTAGCCCAGCCCAAACAACCCCCAGTCCTGGCCTTAATGTAAACTGGCTGGTATTACAGACCAACCTGGCATGACCCACACACCAGTCTGGCTCTCGGAATGCCAGCAGGTGATATGAACTGGCCCAGCCTGGCTCACCCCAGACCTGAGCCAAAGGAAAGCTGATGGGTGCTGTAACCTGGCCTGATCTGAGCTGCTCCCTTTCTTGGTTCTTGCGCTCATCTGCAAAGACTGTGTCCTGACAAAAGTTCCCCATGCTCCTCCATCAGAACATCTCCCAATGCCGTATCTCACACCCACACGTGGGTCCATGTGCCAACCCTACTTAGTCCACCTCCTGTTCTAACAGGAAGAGTAGTCTTTCCTGACTGGCCCTCGCCTATTCCAGTTCTTACTGTTCAGTGCTACAGCCCAGCCAAGCCTAGTCCACACCCAGATGTAGCTCACACATGGCTCAGCAGAGGCAAGACCTAGCCCAGCCTGTCCTATACCCACCCTGGTTCTCACGATCACCAGTGGGTGCTGGAGTCTAGCACAGTCTGGCACAACCCAGACCCAGTCCACATACATGCCAAGGGATATTGCAGTTGTGTCCAAGCAAGACTGCAGCCCAAATGCCGGCCCCCGCGCAAACCCGTGGGACCCACAACCCACCCAGGGCATCCCCTTAGCTCCCTAACCAAGCCTGATCCCAGCCACAGATCTCACGTATGCCAGTGGTTGCTCTGACCCAGCTTAGCATAGTCTCTCCCCTGGCTTGGCCTTTGCCTTCAGATGCTGCAACCTGGCCGGCCCCCAGTCCTAACACTCACTGCTGGGTGCTGCAACCTGGCCCTGCTCAATCTGCTCTCATATAGACTAGTAGGTGTGGTAGCACTCTAATCCTGTTTTCTGCACTTGCCAGTGGGTTGTGGATTGCTTGGCCCTGCCCACTCCATCCCCTTCCAAAACCAACTCACATACTTGCTGACTGATAGAGTTATCCTGCCCAACACCCAAGCCTGAACCACGTGCTCATCGGCGGGAGTTATGACCTGCTAGGGGTTTTTCCCAAGTTACCCCACTTGGTCCACTCTCAGACCCAGATCTCACACATGCCAATGGGTGTTTGGCTCTTGCCCAACATAACCTGCCCCAACTGTCCTGGCCTTTGTATGAACTGATGCAGCCCAACCCACCCCACAGCCTGTTTTAGGGCGCTCATGTGGGTGCTGCAGCCTGTACCTTCTGCGCTTGTTCCCAGCCCCAGTACCAGTGAGCATAAATGAGTTCCATGGTCACGCCTAGCTCAGCCCATCACCATTCCAACTTTCAAGCTAACCAGCAGGAATTGTAATTCCATAAGGTTGGGCCCACATATCCCCCACAGAATCCACCCTCCTGACCTGGTTCTCTTGTGTACTTGTTGGTGTCATGGCCCAGTCTAATGTTTGTTACCCATCCCCTGATCTGACACTCACTGTCAGGTGCTGGGATCTAGCCCTGCTAGACATGCCCTTAGCCATCCATACCTTGTGTGTGTGCTGGTGTGGGGTGGTCAACCCTGTTCCATGCTAATAAGCTCAGGGTCCCAAGGCTTTGGGCTATCCTCTACTGCATTCCCAGGTCACAAGCAGGGATTTGGATGGAAAGCGGAGCAGCTAGGACACGAACTGAGGCCCATATGGGATCCCAGCACATGGAAGACAAGGACTTTAGCTGTTAGGCTATGGCACCATGCCCCCCGCAAATATAATTTTTAAAAATATTTTCCTTGTTGCTTATTCCTAGAATATAGTGTTCCTTCACTCTCAGTTCACCTACTTCCAGAAGTGTCTGATAACCAAAGTTATTCATAAAGATTTTTCCTTTATTTGAGTTCTATATCACCAAGCTATTCTACTTCATATTTGCCTGTACTATCTCTGTAAAGAAACTCTTTGTTTTCATCTTGCCACCTATTCTGAGGCTATTGTCTTGGGATTATTGCTAGCCAGAATCTTTTATTTTTTCTTGTGCATATATGCCATGATGATGGTGGTTACCTTGTGTTTAAGGCTAACTATGTTTGGCTAGTTTGGATCTGTCAGAAAAAAGATAAAGCTAATGTTTTTCAAATTTAGCTTGCATAAGCATGAGATGTAAAATTTGTTAAAATTGGTTTCTGGGCCTCCTGCTAGAGATGGAGTGAGCAGGTTTGCAGTGAGACCTGAGCCTTTTCCATTCTAACAAGGTTCCAGGTGATACTCGGAGTAATGCAAAACCTGGCTAATCCTGTCTTGTTTTCTAACAGACAAGCTTTTCTTTTTAATTTAAAATTGATACGAGAGCTATTACCATTGGTTGCAGAGGTCTGTTCCCATTTGTAGGAGAAGCATTGTTTTAACTTATGAACTTTGCTTCCTTTAAAAAGTTTTGCTAGTAATTGCAAAGGGTTCTTTAGTGTTTGATTTTATTTCTATGTTTAGCAATGCCATTTAGTTTGAGTCGCATTTACTTCCAGAATAATTCAGACTGTTGCCGTCCATATTAAAATAAAAAGCACATTAGAATCAGAAAGTAACAAATGAAAATCATTCATAATGACTTCTATTATTGCAGAATAAATTATTAGCAAATGGCCTTTAAGTTGTTTTTACTCTTAATTGCTAGAGAAGCTTACTTTGATTCTTTACACTTTTAACTCTTGAGAATTCTTTATAGTGGTGAGGTACAGATCATCTAAGAATATTCTCAGGGAAACAATTAATTCAAAAATATACCTCAGGCAAAATTGAATGTAAGATAAAACTTTTGAATTAAACCAAGGTGGCTGTTTTGGTGCATTCAGGCTGCTATAACCAAATACTAGACTGATAAGTGTGTAAATGACAGAAATTTCTCATGCTCTGGATGCTGAGAATTCTAGTTATGGTGTCAGCAGTTTTAAGTGTGTAGTGAGGACCCATTGCTCATACATGCCACATTGTCACTGCATCGCCACACAGTGGAAGGGGCGAGCTAGTTCTCTGGGCCCAAAGGCCTGCACCACCTAATATTATAATTGTGACAGTTTGTATTTTGATATATGAATGGGTGGGTCACATTTAGACCATAGCAATGACCAACATATTTGTATTATTAAGGGTCATGATCAATAAAACTCAGAAATTAAGCATATTCAAAATGTAGTTATAAAATATGATTCAATTGACAAAATTAATAAAATCTTATTTATCTATCGCCTCTCCAGTAGTCATGGCAACTCTCAAAAACAGCAGATTCATTTTCTGAAGAAGCATTCTTCCAAAGCTTTCAGGTAACCAGTTGATCTTTTTCCTTTTTCTCCATTTAAAAATTGTAATACTTCTTCAAACCTGATATTGGGGTACCTTGTATATAATATGATTGTTACTGGACATAGTAAAGTTCTGCTCATTGTACCAATAGACCAGGGTGGGGAACCTTTTTTATTCCAATAGCCATATTTATTTTTTTAATTAATTTATTTTTTTATTGCAAAGTCAGATATACAGAGAGGAGGAGAAACAGAGAGGAAGATCTTCCGTCCAAAGATTCACTCCCCAAGTGACCTCAACAGCTGGTGCTGCGCCGATCCAAAGCCAGGAGCCAGGAACTTCCTCCAGGTCTCCTACATGAGTGCAGGGTCCCAAGGCTTTGGGCTGTCCTTGACTGCTTTCCCAGGCCACAGCCAGGGAGCTGGATGGGAAGTAGAGCTGCCAAGACTAGAACTGGTGCCCATATGGGATCCCGGTGCATTCAAGGCAAAGACTTTAGCTGCTAGGCTATCGCACCGGGCCCCATTTTGATATTTATAGCATCACCCACAGGCCATATAAATTAATCAACTTCAAAATTAGTCTGCTGCAGATTTATTTGATTTCAGGTTCTACCTGCGATTGCCTTAGCAGATCCAGAGAAATGATTTTGTGGGACTCACATAAAGCACAGGCAGGGCTAATGTTCCTACCCCTTCTATCTAAGGGTTAGCCTATAATTCCTGAATCAACTTTGTTTCACTGGTGCCAGTGATTAAGGGGAAACCTTCAGTATTTGAGGAGAAGTAAGTTTACTCAAGCTGTATGAGGTTTGAAGCCAGTATGAAGCCTTGGGAATTTTTACTTTTTCTTCATAAATTGAAGACAAATATGCAACGTGGTTATATACAAAAAGTTTTGATTAATATTTCTAAAGGTATTAAAATTAACTTTGATTTTACTGTAAACTCTGCTCAAAATCACCAAGCATGATTTTTTTTCACATTTTTCTGATCTGTTTTCACTCCATGTTCCTCTGTTTAGTTATTTTGCTCATGTTACCAGGTATTTACCAGGCATTGAATAGTATCTGCACTTAGTGGACACTTGATATATACTTTTTTTGAGTAAGTTCATGTATATATTGAAAATTAATGATTTTGGACCAATAGTTCACACACAGACTGATTCCATTTTAAAAATACATTAGCGTCATTGTTAAAACAATACTGCATGCAGGTAATTTGAAAAGGACAAGCTATATTGCATGTTTTAGAAAAAAAAATTTAAACCTGTGAATGAATTTCTTAATTTTAAAGATGATATATTTTTTTAAGTATACCTCATTTTTAAGCTCAGTTGTGTGCATGGTATTTGACTGATTAAAGATGGAAGGTGTTTTCTCAAATTTCAATCTTCAGCAAAAAACTGGTTATTTTCCATGCGTGGAACTTGCCATTATTTGTAACAAGGAGGACAAAGAGACTTTATGATTTCAAGGATGAGGGGAAATTGCTGCTTCTGTGAAAAGAAACATTCTGATTTGAAGAAATAGCATGCATAAAAGTGTAGCAAGGGGCCCAGCGCAGTAGCCTAGTGGCTAAGTCCTCACCTTGTATGTGCAGGTGCCCAGCGCAGTAGCCTAGTGGCTAAGTCCTCACCTTGTATGTGCAGGTGCCATGTGGGTGACAGTTCATATCCCAGCTGCTCTGCTTCCCTTCTGCCTTCCTGCTTGTGACCTGGGAAGTGGGTGAAGGACGGTCCAATGCCTTGGACCCTACACTCGCATGGGAGACCTGGAGAAGGCTCCTGGCTCCTGGCTTCAGATCAGCTCAGCTTGGCTCCGGCCATTGCAGCCACTTGGGGAGTGAAACAACGGAGGGGAAGATCTCTCTGTGTCCACTTCTCTCTATGGATATGACTTTCCAATGTAAAATAAATAAATATAGATTTTTAAAATCATAGACAAAAGCACATTACATAAGCCTTTTTGTGTTACAGTGAATAACCAGTAGTAGTTTGAATGGAGCATGACGTTCGTATAACAGTGTGTGCAATCTGGGGGGATCATTTTAAGCTTAGATTCAGGTTGTGAAGTCCTTTGAAACAGTGCCAGGGAGTTTAGACTTAATTTTAATTTGAAGACATTGGGCATATCACCGATGTCTTGAATAAAATCAAGGGCTCTAAATGAAGACCAGTTTGGAGGAGAGTACAAGCTGAGTTGCAATGTATTAAGCACATAAATGGATTAAAGCTATTGTGGTAGTTAAGGCTGATGCAGTAATAACCTGGATTAAGGTGTTGAAATGACATTACATCACATCAGAAGAACATGGACTCTTAAAACTGATTATTGAACCTGTGTGTGGATTGCCGTAAAATATAAGAACCTCTTTCTAATTTCTCTTCTTTTTCCTCCCATAGGGGCATTACTGTAGTCTGCCTTCACTGTGATTTCCTAAGCGATTCTACGCGCCTAGATCGTATGGCTAAACACTTAAGTCTTTATAGAACTCACAGTTGCCAAGTTGTGATCGAGAATAGTAAGTATACATTAAATGTTACTTTGGGCTTCTGCTATTTATTCCAGTATTTTTATGGGCCCTTTATATATTAAACCAAGTCTAGCTTTTCACATACACTGCTTTAAGTATAAAACTCTTTTTCTTTTTGCAGTGACCAAAATTACCTCAACTTCTGAACTCACTGCTGGGTAAGTTTCATTTTCATTCCATGCATTTTAATGCATCATTCATAGAAATGAAAAATATTAAAGTGTTTTGTTTTTACTTTCAAAGCCAGTTGATGAACTAGGTTGCTGCTGTGTGACGATCGTACAACCTGGTGCGAGACAAGTTGGAATATCCCAAGTTCAATGTTCTGAAGTGTTTTCTTACCCAAAGGCAGTTTCCCAAGTTTAAAGTTCTGACGCATAAAGTTTAACCACATGAAGGTGGTTAAACTACCAATTCATGACACTAGGTCTTAGAAGCTTTTTCAGTTTTCAGATGGCTCTAGATTCTCTACCTTATCTCTTTCAGGTTAATGCATCTTAACGCGTGTTTTTTCCTCCAGTTGGCACTCTGCAAAACTAATTTGTGTTACTATAGTCTTCCCTTGCTTGCTTAAGTAATGTGCGTTTTTCTCTGGTGTGTTTGCCTTTGGAATATTACATTCCAAACTATAGGAACTGTTCATCGTTTATTGTCTGATTTGTCTGCTTTCTTTGAAGTGTTACATTTTAGGTCAAATAGCTGGGTTTTTTTTTCTCTCTCCTCTTTGTCATTGTTCTATTTTTCATACATTTTCAGATGCAGGAACAACACAGAAATTTAAAAAAAAATCCAGAATACCACTGGACAGTGTCCCACTTCAGAGGACACAACTGATGCCTGTTCTCTCTTTCCACACAATGTGAATTGTTTGCCTGTGAGACCTCCTCCAGTTTGTGGCCTTAAGAAGTCAGGAGAGTTCCTGACCACCTGACTGGCCGCCCATAAGGCTGATGCTCATTCGGCCAGAGATGACCTCAGAGCTCACCTAACTGAATACAACTTTCCACTGAGGGTTTTGGCACTTCCTGTAAGATGTAAGAGTTGATTCTAAGACATGACTGTGAAATCAGTCCTTTGACATCCAAGTTGATGTTCAGTCAGTTTGACTGCTGTCCTTTACTAATCTAGCATGCATGCAGTCTAAGGAATATAAAAATTCTGGTCTTCGAACCCAGGTTACGTTGTTTTTAGAAAAAGAAAATTTTTATAAAGTTACCTTCCTGAGATAAGTTATTCTTATTGCCATGTATGGTTTTATTCAGTATTAATACTAGGAATTCTCAGCAATACTAATACCCAAAATGTGTAATTTTGAAAACCTTCATTGATTTTGACAGCTTAGTTTTATGTCATTCTTCATTAACTTTTTCATGTTCTTTTTGTTATGTCTCCTTTGCATTATTCTTCTTACACCTCTTGTTTTGTGTTTTATTTCTGTTAAGAACTTCCAGACATTCCTTAAACCTCTTTGCAGATCTCATGTAATTACCTACATGTAGCTTCTTAATTGGATACCTGTTCAGACCATTTGATGTTATAACATGTATCATCTTGGGAATATCATTTACATTTTAGGGATTATGAGTTCTGAGACAAAGAATTGGCAAAATGTCTTTCAGAACCTGAAAAACAACTTTTAAACTTGCAAATATCTAATACATGTTATCATCTTAGCCATCAAGCCATTAATGTAATTCTTTTGGATAAAGATAATATATTCAAAAGTACTGGGACCAAGAAGTGCACTTGTTTCCTACCCATATATATAGATATAGACATATGTTTTAAAAAATTGATGTTTGTTTATTTTGGTTACACTGAATAAATATTTGTTGAACATTTTTATGTTACTTATTTTTAAATAAAGTTTGCATTGTTAAAAGTGTCTTGGTAATTATTTTCTTAAAAAGTTTCATGTGAAAGTTGTGGGTTGTATGACATAACTAGGATCATTATTTTGCTTCTTATGTGGAAGCCTGGTTGTTCTGCTGACTAAGTGCTCTGACTTATAGCATGTCTCACACTTCTTTCTCCAGTGTAGGTAAAAACTCACCATTTGGAGCCAGAGCATTGGCTTAACAGGCTAATCCTTCACCTGCAGTGCTGGTACCCCATATGGCCATTGGTTAGAGTCCTAGCTGCTCCACTTGCCATCCAGCTCCCTGCCTATAGCCTGGGAAGGCAAGGGAGGGTGACTTAGGTCCTGCAGCCCTTGAACCCATGTAGAAGAACCAGAAGAAGCTTCTGGCTCTTGGCTGAAGATTGGCACAGCTCTGGCCATTGCAGTCTTTTAGGGAATGAACCAGTAGGTGGAGGAAAGACCTCTGTCTGTATCCTTATCTCTCTTAGATAAAAATAAATCTTTTTTTTAAAAAGCTTACCACTTATACTTTACTAGGTTCTTGAACTTTTCATAATTTATTTTATTTTTGATAATGCTTACGTAGTTGAGAAGAACCATCAATTAGGGTGGGAAGGATCAAGGAATGGAGGAAGTGGATGAGACGACTGCTTTCATTCTTCCTTTCTATTCTTCCTGTGTCTGGAGGAAGAGGAGAGAGAGAGAGGAGGTGAGGGTCACTCCCAGCAGCCTAAGCATACCAGTACCCAAGGATGTGGGACAGCCACCCAATGTCATCCTAGGGTCCCCAGTGTGCAGCGTGCTCTGAGGATACTGCTCAAGTAGTCTTGATAGTTCTCACATGCGGCTGATTTCATTGCTCCAAGGTTGAGGAAATCCCTCCCAAGTCCATTGACTGATATAATCCACCTCAGAGTCTCAGCTCACCCATATACCTGCTGTCAAAGCTCAAACAGGACTGGTGCCCAATTTGTTCTACCCTGCATGGTATTAGACATCGTCTGCAGGCTTCAGTGATCTGTCATGTTCCCCACGTGCATCTGGTCAAGCTGTCTGCTGCACAGGCTTCAGCAACTGAGGAGGCCCAGTTCTGAAACATAATTCCAGTCAGGCCACAGATCCTGTCATTTTCCCTGTGGTTGGAGTTTTGAATCCAGAGGTCCAGTTGCTGGGGGGTATGGGTCCCCAAAGAAATCTCAACTTAAGCGACCCCAGACCTGACTCCTCTGTTCCAGCCAGTGCAGGGTTCAGCTCAGTCCATCACCAGCTTCAGCATGGTTGCAGTTACCAGGTCAGATCTGTCCCCAGCTTCATCTCATACACAAACCAATGGGTGCTGTGGCCCAGGCTAAGCCTACGAACCACACCCTCAGCCCTCATGTACATTAATGGGAACTGCAGCCCAGTTGGAGCAACTTCCAATAACCTCCACCAGACCTGCCCCCAGCCCTGGTTCCTGTGCAGCAGACTGGTCTGATCTGTCCTTCAGCCATTTGGGTTTTGTACACACCAGTGGATGCTGCAGCCTACCTCAACCCAACCAACCCACGTATCCAACTCACACTCATGCTGGTGGATGCCACCACCTGTCTAGCTAGGCCCACCCCCAGACATGGTTCTCATGCTAACCTGTGGGAATTAGAGCCCATCAGAGAGGTGCCCACATTTTCCCAATTGGGCCCACTCCCAGTGCTGGATATCATACTTTCCAGGTGGTTCTCAGTTTAGCTTGATAGGATTTGCTCCTGTTCCCAGCACTTGGCAGCTGAATGTGAACTGCCAGTTGCCAATGTGAGTTGGTAGGGCAAGGCTCCAGCACCCACCTGTCCCATATCCAACCCAGCCTATACCACACCCTGTTCTGGTTTTCAAATCTGCCAGTGGGTGCTATGAACTGGCCCAGCCTGTCCTGCCCCAGACCTGACCCACACACAGGCCAGCAGGTACTAACTGTAACCTGGCCTGGTCTGGGTTGCTCCTAGCCTCAGTTCTTATGCTCACCTGCAGGAACTGTGTCCTGACAAAGAATTTCTCCAAGATTCTCTATCAGGTCACATCCCAGATTGCACGCATACTGGAAGTTGCTTGGCCCAGCCTGACTTGGCCCACCCCTTGCCTTGGCATATATAGTGGGCTTATCTGGCCAGCCCACATCCATTCTGGCTCTTACCACTGGGTGCTACAGCCTAGCCCTGCCTGGTCCATCCCCAGACCCAGCTCTCATGTGATTCAGTGGGTGCAGAGACCTAGCCCAGCCTCTCCTACACCTACCCTGGTTCTTATGAGCACCAACAGGTGTTGGAGCTAGGCCCAGCCTGGCACACCCCAGACCTAGTCCACACCCATGCCTAGGGATGCTGCAGCCATGTCCAGCCCAGTTCACCTGTCCCCATTCCAGTTCTTGTGCTGACAAGTGGGAACCAGCAGGGGCATCCCTTAGTTCCCTGATCCTGCTCCCAGCCACAAATCTTGTGCATGTCAGTGGTTGTTTTGACCCAGCCTGGCATGTCTTAACCCCTATGTTGGTCTTTACCATTGGATGCTGCAGCCTGGCCTGGCCTGGCCTGCCCCAACCCCAACTCTTGCTTGTGGGTGCTGCATCCTAGTCCTGCCAAGCCTGCCCCAACGCTGGCTCTCATGCAAACTACTAGGTCTGGTAGCCTAGCCCAGCATAGTCTGCACCCCATCCAGGCTCCTGTGTGTGGCAGTGTGTTACATTTTCACCTAGCCTGGCCCAGTCCCCCTGCCCCAAACCAGCCCACACACCTGCCTTATCCAAACTGACCAACACCCAGCCCCGACTCACATGCTCACCAGTGGGAACTATGGCTCACCATGGGAGTTCCCAAACTTCCCCCACCAGACCTTTTCCCAGACCTGAATCTCACATGTGCCAGTGGGTGTTAGGTCCTTACCTAAAATAGTCCACCCCCAATAGTCAGCTTTTTTGTACTGGTGGATGTTGCAGCCTGGCCCTCCCCACACCCAGTTCTTGGGTGGGCCTATGGATGCTGCAATTTGAACCAGCCAGGGCTGTTAACACCCCAATTCCCATGGGTGTTGGTGAGTTCCGTGGTTATGCCTAGTTTGGCCCCAGCTCTTCAGCAAACCAGCAAATATTTGCAGGCCAACAGAGGTCAGCCCACAAATCTCCCACAGAATCTGCTCCCAGACCTGATTTTCTCACATGCTGGTTAGCGTCATGGCCCAGCCTAACATAATCTGTCCCCTGTTCAGACATTCACTGGCGGGTACTGTGGTCTAACCCGGCCAGTAGGCCCCCAGCCCTAGTGTGAGCCGGTAGATGGTGGTCAGCAGTGGTCAATGCTAGCTAACCCAGCTCAAGTGTCCCAGTTGAGGAGGTGCATCAGTCTGACCCAGAAAGGTCCTCCAGCTTCCCTCCTCCATACTATCTTTTCTCTCAGCCCCCTTGCTTATGGCAAGTACAGTGACCTTGTCAGTGAAAGTCTCCCAGAAGTCATTCCTCACTTGCAACATACTCCTTCATGGGTCCTCCCTTCCACATGCCTCCTTATCCCCTTCCCTGAGCAATACATAGTCCTTGCACCCAGGAACACTTGAGTTCCCCAGGCCAGTCTTCTTAACCCCGGTCTTTCGGTGAGTGGTGTGCTGGCCTGGAGCTCTGCCTGCCCACCAGGGACCCAAAATCATGCACAGGTCTCCAGACCTATGTTCAAGCCAGCTTAGCCGGTAGCATGGACACGGCAAGGGTCAGGGAATCAGACACCGACAGGAGACCAGTAGTGGTGGAAGAGGCCTCTCTCTGGCCTCCCTTTATTCAGCTATGTATACTTATCCCCCAAGCCTCTAGCAGAACAATCGATGCTAATGA